TCTTCATAATGTGTCTTTAGACATGTCTTAAGACATCTCAAGACATGGTAATGGCTGGATGTAAACACCCAAAAGCTCTGAGCCTCTGCAGGAGAGTAAAATCATTCAGTTCTGAGTGATATTCTCACAGATACCTCACTGAAACTCTATCACCACACTGATAGGGACATGGCCTAATGAGGTCATTTTGATGGTCACTCCAGCTGGTAATAAGTAGTGAGACAGTAGTGCTGTGTACGAAGTCAGTAGCCAGCTATGCTAACAGGTTTCATAACTCTGAGGGTGGACAGTGTTTTTATTTTAGCTCCAATGTGAATTGACAGTAGAACAATACCTCAGACAACAACAGTGGCTGATATTATAGACATTTCTGATTAGGTTATTTCTGTCCTTTTGAGCATTTTAGTAACTCCATAGTTAAGTGGAAGTCCACCAGTTTTTCCGAATTAATTAAACAGTTGTAGATGTAATCAGAGCGGTTCAGAGTGGTTTGGTGTGAAACGCTCCGTTCACAGTGGTGGTGATAGGAACCAGACGTCCACCTCTAAAAGCTCCCTCACAGAAAGTTCCTACATGAAATGGTGATGAATTCACTGCCTGATGACTGAGACACTGTTTGATCATTCTAAAATCAGGATTTGGTGTACTTTTTTAAGAGAGGGGATGTAGTAGTAATTTGTGGAAAGGCACAGCAGGATTATTTCTAATCTGACTTTGGTTAATGATCATGAAGTCACTCATCTTTAGAATAATTGAGGTATTTTTAATATTTGTAGTTGAGGTGATGCCCCATTTAAAAGAACTGGGTGCACAACATTCTGATGTATCCAAGCTGCAGTTTAATGAAAAAGCAAAGTCAAATTCAATAATAAACATCATCAACTCCCAGATTGCTGAGCACACAGAAACAGCCCAGTCGTCAGTCATATTTTAGACAGGGTTCTGAATAATTAAGGTGTGTGCAAGTAAACTGCCTGATGTTCTCACAGACGTTTTTTTTTTTTTGTTTTGTTTGTTTTAATTTATTTACTTATTTAAACAGGAAAGCCCTACAGTGTCTCATTTCCATAGCAGGCAGTGTATAAAAGAATAACTAATGGAGCATAAAAGAAGAGGGGAGGGAGAAATAGGGATAATACAATGAATTAACAAATGATAATATCAAGTCATCATTTTAAAATTTAATATTAAACTTAAAACCTTAAAGATCATTATATTTAACACAATTACATCATAAAAATATATTTGCACATATGAATGTGTCAGCATTTTCAAATGAACAACATGCTGTGTTTGTGTTGACAGGAGGCCAAAACAGAGAATAAACATTTTTAAAAAATATACATGCGGACGTGTGGGCAAGGCCTCAGCTAACTAATACCCTAGCTATGTTTTGATTGAGACCCCTTTCTTTACACCACCACTGTTAACAAAACTAAAGACAAAAGTTTCTTTACAATTAATCATTTCACATCAAAACACTGACTCAAAATGGTGGAAATCTCCTTTTAATAATTTCATCACAGCAGAATATTTTATCTGCTTTAAAAAAAGAATTGCTGTTTTTCTCTTGGACTGAGATCGTTGTTTGGAGCAGCTTTTCATATAACACATCTGTGCTAACCAGATCAACATCAGAGGGTGAACTGAGGCCCGAAGGGTCCGCTGTGTTGGAGGCAGTGACATTCAGATGAATGTAGGATAATCAAAAAATTCATTCATATTGGTTTATTCTAGATTAACTAATTATTTTGGGAACATTTTCTGCTCCTGAACTTAAAGGGGCAACAATGTTGACTGTTTGACATTTCACCTTTGGCCTCAGGTTATTTGTGGTCCTGACACTGATATGTATATATATATATATATATATATATATATATATATATATATATATATATATACACATACACTACACTGCCATACAGTCGTAATCTTTAAGCTTAGTTGTCTGGCTAACAGAGAAATCCAGCATTGTGGAAAACCTCTCAGTTTGTCTCTGAGAGCTCCGTTTCTTCATTCCCCTCTGCTCTGTTTTGGTGGGCAGCTGCACTGTGATTGGCTGCTTGCCTGCTGTCTTCTTGAAGGGTAAACACTGCACTTCCTCCTGAGGAAACTAAACTGGTTCAAACCAGTCCAGAAGGACTTGAAACTGAGCAGCTCAGTTTTGTGAGGCAAAGAACATAAAGAACTTTAGGAGAGAAAAACGGTGAGTACATATGTCTGAACTTTAGTTTATTACTATATTAATATTCAGTATATCAGTTCAGTAGGTTTGTACTGAAGTCTTAACTTACAGAATTAACTTTCTGACCTGATGACTTAAATATTCCTCTGTAAGTGAACAGCCTGATGAGGCAGGGCTGAATCTACCACAGTCTTGTTGAAGTGAAAAGTTGTATTATGTGTGATTTTATATTATATGTGATTTTACAATGTTCTCGTTGTTCCTTCTGTAAAGAAATCCTCATATTTTTGTACTTGGACGTTTTTGGTTGCTTCCATTGTTGTGATATGACAGAACTTGATCCTTTCCACAAACAGTTACTTCCAGATGGCAAGCTTCATACCCAGCCATCACCATGTCTTGAGATGTCTTAAGACATGTCTAAAGACACATTATGAAGATGTCTTAGGACATCTTGAGGCATGTCTTCAGAAATGAAGACATGTCTTTAAGACGTGTCTATAGACACGGATCTTAAGATGTCTTGGCAATAATAACATCCCAAGACGTCTCAAGATGTAGGATGTATAATACGTATTTTTAAATTTTACCTACATTTTTTTAAATAAATCTTTTACTTTTAAATATTTTAAGGGAATTTTAAAATGTAACATTATTTACAGCTAAAATTACAGTAATTATTTTTTTTTTCATTTTTTTGTTCTATGTAGGATGCATAATGGTATCATTTATTTTAATATATTGCATATCATTTTATAAACATAGAAACATTACATACATTAGTACATACTACATTTATACATTTCAGAACAAATTTAACAACAAAAGTAATAATAATAATAATAGGCACATGGTTCCCAGTCTGTAGCTTTCTCTACAATAAGCCATTTTATATGAAACCACTAAATGATTTTGTTTACATCGGAATGACAGAATTATGCCAAGTTTAGAAAAATGTGGAATTCTCCTTTAAATGTTTCTGTTGCATTAGAAAAGTTTATGGAATCAGTGATATGATGAAAGTTTATTTGTGAGTTCAGACCATGCCTTCAACATGGTGGTAGTATGAGGGAAGACTCTTATGCAACTATTTTGTAATACAGTGTTGCTGCAAAATTTAAAAATTTAATTCAGTGCTTTTAAATACCTTTTTATAGTAATTAACCCTTAATGTTTTAAAAATGTGGTAAAATGTGTTAAATACATTTTTTTACAGACTATTTTACAGTTGCTTCATTTTTTAATGAAGATATCATTTTATCAACTTTTAAAATAATAATAATAAGGAGAACAAGAACAATAATAAGTATGCATAAATTACAGTAAAGTAATTTAAAGGGGTATGGAAAATCACTATTTTACAGTTTTGTATTTCCTTGTTAATCTGTTAAAAATTCAGAATACTTCCACATTCAAATAATTTACTCTGCAATCCAAAGCATAGCCCATGAAAAAGCACCCACAGAGCTTTCAAAAATATAGATTACAGTTATTATTGTTTTTACAACTGTGTATATGCACAGTACAATAGCGTCATCACACTTGATATGTTCTACAGAAAAACATGTTAACTGACTTTGTGTAGAAATTTGAAATATACTGCAATAAATACTCAGTTCCACAAACCAATGAATCTGATTTTAAGGTCTGCTGTTATTCCATATATAAGTTATGCTGAGGTTATTAACAATATAGTACTATGAACAATTATAAATGATAGGAAACAATTTTAAGACAAATTCATATGGACTAAAAAGAAAAACTGACCAACAGAGTAATACAGAGGTCTGAACCCCAGCAGTACTCATAACATACCTGAGCCAGATAATGATCAGCTGTCAAACAATTAATACCAGACTCAGATGTGCTGGTAGCTGGAATAGAGTCAAGCTGTGGACATATGTGGACACAGGAAACAGGACACAGATAACTCGATGTGCATATGTCCATGCCGTAATGCCTGAACACTAACATTACTGATATCGCACTGCTAATGTTACCGATCTCTCCTTTCAGAGTTAAATCCGTGATGAGTGAGAGAACTGTCAGATTCACAGCCCGTCGCTTCTTCCTCTGTTTTTTCTCAGTGTTGGTCTTCTTTGTCAGAGATATGAGGAAAATGCTCTGTTAAAAAATCAATTTTAAGACAATAAATTTGAAATTACTTTTGGATCTGCGTACACAAGCAGGCTGAATTTAAAGGGGACCTGTTATGCTAATTTCCAATGTTCATAATTTTATTTTTGTGGTCGACTATAATACATTTACATGCTTCAGTGTTCCAGAAACACATTATTTTTCTCATACTGTAATTGTTTACTCACCCTCTATCTGAAACGCTCTGTTAGAGCTCCAGTGTCTTTAAGCCCCTCCTTCCTGATGAGCCCAGTATGCTCAGATTAGTAAGCTCGCTCATTTGGCTCTGACTGATCAAGCACCAGAGCGGTTCCGCCAATACACGGGCTCCGGTAGATGCGTTGCGTTGTGTGAGGGCGTGCCAAGCTCGCTGGTAGGTGGGCAATAAGGATTGTGTTGTGGGATTACATGATCTTGTAACGAAGGAAAAGGGCTGGGGAACTCCAGCCCTCAGGCAGCTGAGAAAAGTGGTTTCTGTGGGAGAGAGTTTCTCCCTCTGGCATATACTTTCAGCTTTGTATCTTACATGCACAAAAAGCTACATAACACAGTAAATAAAAGGGAAAGCATTATATATTCCCTTTATAAGTAGAATATAATGTACAGTATACATAATTTTACTCATCTAAAATCAACTCAGGCATTTAGTACACAAAGAAATGTGACAAAGCTTTAAATAATACCTATGCATGAACTCCAGTGTGGCACCCAGCTCACACGCATAGCTGATGTTCAGACAATGATGTTCAGTGTAATGAAAGAAGCATCAGGATGAGGCCACTTGGGTAAGAGCACAGTTGAGTGTTGAGAATGATATGGACTGCCACCATACTGGATGAGGCCCAAAGAGAGGATGTTCCTTTGGAAGGACTGAAAACAACAAAGTTGATTAGATAATTCACTATTCTATTGTTTTCATCCTCTAACATGCCAAAGTCAACACGTGACAGAAATGATCATTTGCTGTTGAGGCAGGTGTGAGCTTAGTACTGATACCTGTATCTGTTAAAAGCTGTGTTAAAGGAGAATTACACACAAGCACAATTTCATCATTAAGATGCAAAAAAATAGTTTGATACAAAATGTTCCACTGTGGAAAAACTTACAGAGTCAGAGTTGTTCACAGTGGCAGTGACAAGAACCAGACGTTTGAAGAGTTCAATGCCTCTAATCTCTCACAGAGAATTATTACATGAAATGATTATTAATATGAGCTAAACTCTATTAGATCATGTTTAGCACATGCTGTATGCTATAACTTGCAGGGCTCTGAGACTTGCAGTATTACACATTAAAGCACTGTGAAGAAGTAAATTCATAAATATTGACACAGTGTTGGTGATATTGCCATATCGATATTTTGAACACAGCTGTAATGGCAAATAACATACTAATAAATTGAATGAACAAAGCGCAGATATTTGAATACTGTAACCCAGCTTTACCTAAACATTCTGCTCTTCTGTATTACAATAAATACTTCATGAATTATATTTGTTTGAAATACCCACCAAATCTAAACATCTGTCTGACGTTCATATAGTTCATATAGAGTAAATGTAACTGAGCAAATTAAAATCATTACTACCCTCTCTGAACTACACAAACTGACGGACTGTGTTTAGTTTCATTGCTGTATTGCTCAGTGTGCTGACCCTGCTGCACTGTGTTCAGTCTCATTGCTGTATTGTTCAGTGCGCTAACCTTACTGCACTGTGTTCAGTCTCACTGTTGTATTGTTCAGTGTGCTGACCCTGCTGCACTGTGATCAGTCTCACTGCTGTATTGCTCAGTGTGCTGACCCTGCTGCACTGTGTTCAGTCTTAGGTTTCACTCTGAGGCAGTCTTTCATTTGGAGCGCGTGCTAAGCGACATCTGACGCAGCTGCGAGGCGTAAACAGACAAGCCGCTTAGCCGCTAGCTAGCTAACTACATACGCTAACCTAACGCTGGTGTCTTCACTCGGCAGATCCACCCAGAAATACAGAAAATGTTTACTCCAGCTGACTGTCAGTGAGGCTGCTTATACACCTTTTTAAAAGCAGACTCTGACCGCTGCAGTCGGGACTCCAGTCGCCACTCCGCTCGGTCCAGTCAGTAGTTAGCTAGGTTAACTACGCAGCTGAAAATCCTCGTTTTTGGGAGCTGAAAGCGTCACCCGGCAAGCGGCGCTGTCTCAGTAAGGAGTGTAAGAGAGTCTTATCAGGTTTAACACTCGCTAAACAAACTCGATTAACTGCCCACGTTAGCGACCTGAGAGACTCGCTCACTGTAACGGCTGTAACGGCCGCGTTTAGCTTCAAAAGGAGGAACGGCGGAGAGCGCTCGCGCTTCAAAACCGAACGTCCAAGAGGCGGAGTCCCGCGCTCTGATTGGTCTAAACTCCCACCAGTCTTTTGTTTGTCCTCCCACTCTACTGAATGAACTGTGCTGTTTTGTTTCTGTTTGTTTGTTTGTTTGTTTGTTTTTTAATCTAGACACAGAGCAGAAAAGTGCAAACCCAAATACACGAGACCGCTGTACAGCATTATTTTACAAAGCATCACTGGAGGCCATGTCTTAATATATTAAAGTCAAAGTATGAAGTTGGACATTTAAACAAAAATCTGTTCATTATGTAATTTTACGTGGTGAAACAATACAGGTCTTTATATATTACTACTCAAATACATTTGTTTATTATTGTTTGTGTTTTCCAAATACCTGGAGATAATAATTTTGAAAGTTATACATGGTATATAACAAGTTTGTTCTCTTTTTCTGTTGGACCAAAAGTCCTAATGGTCAAACTTTGGGCAGCCCTGATCTACTTAAGAAAATAAACAGAAGTGTAGATGATGAAGAGAGTGAACCAAGGGCTTTTCTGCATTAAGTTTTGGTGGTATGAGATCTCTAAAGTACTCAGGTTAGCTGTTAAGTACATTTACTTTCTATTAGCTCAAAGTTGTTTTATCTTGGTTCCCAGCTTGTTGTCTCTGGTTACAATTGTACATTTGAAAATAGATCAAAGTTGTTTTAATCATAGCATGTTTTCTGCAAATGAGCAAAAGGCTGTGACTGACTGTGATTTTCTCCATTAGTAAATGTTACAAATTAAAAGTTCTTCTACTATGAACTTCAATGATATAAGGAAACGAGTTTAAACATTTTAAGGTAAGGTAAATGGTTTAAGAATTGATTTTTTCTTTTGCTGTTTTGCCACTGTAAACACATTTCTGCAATAATCAAAAAACAAAACATACAAAAAAAAAAAAATCACAAAAGTACAGCAAGTAAAACCTTAGTGAATGTTCTTTTAGTAATGTCACACAAAACTATAAGATTACAGCAGGCTGTTTCTTGAGGACATACTTGTTATATTCTCATTATATTGTACAGTAGGCAGTGCTGTGGTAATCCTGGTAATCCTCAGTAGTAATGTTCAGTTTGGCAGTATCACAGGAATGCCACACTCATACCACAGGACCTTTTGTAATGGACCACTCTTTGGTCTCAACTGAACTGTCTTAAGACACAACATCTCTACGTCTTAAGACAAAGTGATGTCTTAAGTCGTGCCTCATCTTCAAGACACACAAAATAATTACTTCTTTGTCTTAAGACGTTAACTTTCATGCCTCAAGACAAAGACAGTGTCTTCACTCATACGTCTTAAGACGTTCTTGAGATGTCGCATAAAAAAATGTCTCAAGACATCTTATAAACACTGTCAAGACATCTTAAGACATCTTAAGACACAGTGACAGCTGGGTATGATATATATATATATATATATATATATATATATATATATATATATATGTATGTATATGTGTACACTACACACTGAACACAGCATATACACACACTACATACATACTACATACAATACAACACATCACACACTACAAACGCTAAACTCTCACATGTTAAACACACGTTACGTATACATGCGCACACACTACTACACTGATGTGCCAAAAGTCATGGGACAGCAGTATGTAAATTGACTGAAGTGGTGTTACCTAAGGGGACGTCTTGAGATGCCCACACCTGTATAAGTTGTGAGGTGTTATGTTGTGAGTGAGGTTGAACACTGGCCAGCGTTATAGTGGGTGTCAGACAGATGGGATATTCCATTTCCAAAGTTGCCCGGGCATTTAACATTGCTCAATCCACAGTGTCACATTTACCACCCACAGTGGACAGCTCAGTGGCCGCCCATGGGTGCTTATTCATTGTGACTGGCAGCATCTGGCTAGAATTGTCTGTGCAAACAGACTTTACAGAAAAATCCAGGTCCAAACCCCCATGAGCATTGCCAATGCTGAAAGTGGCAAGGGAGAAACTCCCTAAGAGCAAGAGAAAGAAACCTTGAGAGGAACCAAGACTCAAAAGGGGAACCCATCCTCCTCTGGTCCACACCGAATAACAAACAGCATTAGTATAAAATATTAGAATACAAAACAAGGAAAAACAGGTGAAGCCGTGGCTAATTAGATGGTTTGAGTTTATACAGCTGCAGCAGCAGCAGCAGGAGGGTCAGTTCATGCAGGTGAGGCACAAATCAGCCAACAGAGATGGAGCTCTGGTGGCTCACATGTGGTGACTCAGGCAGACGAGAGAGATTGATTAACAGAACAGGTCCATTTATGGAGAGATATTAGTGAGTTAATAATGTAACAACTGATATTAGCAGAATGCTTGTAATTCCACAATTTTAGGGCTACGTAGGAAAAAGCTTGTCCACCTGCTGTGGTTTTTCTAATTCCAGGAACCGTCAGCAGGCCGTCATTTTGTGAGCGGAATGTACATGTGGGTTCATATGACTGAATAATTCACTAAGATACTACGGGGCCATTTAATGACTTACATGTTAAGAACATCCAACTAAAATGGTGTTACAGTAGTCCAGCCTGGAGGTTATAAATGCATGCACAAGTTTTTCTGCATTATTTAGGGCTAGAATATTACATAGTTTAGCTATGTTACGCAAGTGAAAGAATGCGGTTCTAACAATGTTGCAAATGTGTATCAAAATAGAGACTGGAATCGAAGATCACCCCTAGATTTTTTACAGTAGAGTTTGGAATGACCGTATGGCCTCTGAATTTAGTTCAAATTTGGAGAGTTGAGATCTCACTGCTTTGGGTCCAAGTAATAGGACCTCAGTTTTGTTAGGATTAAGAAGAAGGAAATTCTTATTAACACATTCTTCAAGATTATTTATTCATTTGCTTCAGCAGATATTTAAAGTTGCTTGTCGTCTGCATAGCAGTGAAAACTAAGGCCAAAACTGTGAATTATGTTACCAAGAGGTTGCATGTACAGAGAGAAAAGCAGTGGCCTGAGCACTGATCCTTGGGGGACACCATATTGTACTAGCATGCGATCAGAGTGTTTATTGTTAACACTGACAAATTGATAACGGTCTGTCAGATAAGATTGGGACCACGACAAAGCCTGTCGTTTGATACCAACTAGATTTTCGAGCCTATCATGGAGGATCTTGTCGTCGATGGTATCAAATGCTGCACTGAGATCTAGAAGGACTAGTATGCAGATATGGCCACTATAGAGAGACACATGGAGATCATTTACTACTTTAGGTAATGCTGTTTCAGTACTGTGAAAGGGTCTAAAGCCAGACTGAAACATCTCATGGAGAGAGTTTTCTTTTAGATAGGAGCACAGTTGATGTGAGACCACTTTTTCTAAGATCTTAGCAATGAAAGGGAGATTGGAAATTGGTTTATAGTTGGCAAGTTTATTAGGATCAAGGTGTGGGGAGTGTTCTCATGACATGGGTTGGGTCCACTAGTCCATCTGAACACATCATTGACTGTTTCACTGCTTGGTGACCATTTGCAACCCTGAATGGACTTCATGTACCCCCACAATGATTGGACACTCCAGAGGATAATACACCATCAAAGAGCATGCTCATGACTTTTGACGAATGATGTGCCCTGCACGTCCAGCCCAGTCAAGCATTTATGGAATGTGGTGGAGAGGTCCATTGGCACCAGAGATCCTGCACCTACAAATACCACAGTGCTGTGGGTGGCTATACAGATGGCATGGCTGAACTTGTACTTGTACTGTATTATTGTAATTTTTTAGATATTTCTACTTTGAGTATGTCACCTTTTCTTTTATTCATTACATTAAAAAAAAAATCTGTACTTTTTATTCACTACATTTTCAAAATAGGCTCGTTACTTTTAGTTTTAATGATCTATTCAATTATTTTTTTATCTCATCTATTAATATGTAATTTTTTTATAATCAGGCAATTGTATTTAGGCACCCAATGAAGCAGGGGGTTGGGGGGGTGGGGGGTGGAGTGAACCTGTGATTGGCTTCTGTCACAGCTTACAGGCCCTAACAGTGAGCATGCGGGAAAGGAAGAAAATAAAACAGATGAGGTAATGTGGATGAGACAAATGAACCAGGCGGGGACTGTGGAGGAAACAAAACAATCTAAAAACACATTTGATAATGGAAGCCAAAGCAAGAGCATCAATCAAGGGCATAAGTGGAGGATGCCTTTGAAAAAACCTGCATCCATGGTCTTATTCAATCTTGGAGTGGGTTATTGGGAGAGTTCCCAGTGGGGCTGTGTAAGTGTCAGGTTGGTTACTGCGCGATAATGAATAAACTTACAGAACAAGAAAACCCAAACTAAATATCACATTCAGATGCACATTGTTAGTAATCTAGGCAGCCCCTGTCTCAAGTGGTACAGCTCTGGAACTGTAACTGAGACTGAGACTAGTACAGTAGATGGAGACTAGATAAAGCTGAAGTTAAATTATGTAGCAGTTATGCATGTTACTTCAGTGCATCGAGTCATTACAGGTAAGACCTAAATATACCATGAACATGCTTCATGCACATCTTGGAAATGTGCTTTACGATGATTAGGTTTAGGTGTTTAAGATTGCTGTGCTGTTTTCCCCATCTTCACACATAAGCTGTTTGATTTAACTTCGTCTTCATCTAGAACTGCCCGCTGTGGCAGTAACCTGTGTTTTTGGCTTCAGTAACTGTCAGGTTTTAGGTATGTACATCTTTAACTTTGTAGGTTTAACTTTGTACGGCCCAGCTGTCTGAGTTTTGTCATCTTCTAAGTCTGTGGTGAGCAGAGGAATGCTTTATAGTGAAGGTACAAATAGATATACACACACAAACACAGACACTACACACACATTAAGCAAACACATTACACATACACACACTGCACACAAATTAAACACACTAAACACTTGCATATACAAACAAGGAACACACTCGCATTAAACACACATGACAGACACACACACACACACACACACACACACACTACACGCATTACAAATGGACTGAACACAAACACATGACATATACATACATTAAACATGGTCATTACATACACACATTAAATATACATATACTACACACATATACACACACACACATTATAAATGGCCTAAACACACATTAAGTTAGTTAAGTTACCCATATTAGTCCCACAACGGGGACAATTCACCTCTGTATTTTAACCTATCTGTGCAGTGACACACCCACATACACACTAGTGTATGCATACACACTAGGGGGCAGTGAGCACACTTGCCCGGAGCAGTGGGCAGCCCTATCCACAGCGCCCGGAGAGCACACAGGCATATTAAACACAAACATCACAAACACACACTATACATGCATTAAACACACTCATATACTCATATTAAAAAAACACGCATTACATATACACACACTACACACACTCACATTGAACACACACACTACACATGAACTAAACACACTCACATTAACACAAATATTACATATAAACACATTTCATATACAAATGCACATACAAATTTCAAAATACACTACAAATGCACTAAACACACACAATAAACATTACACATACACACACTAAACACACACATTACATAAACACCTTCATTACATACACACAGACTACACACATTAAACACACACACACACAGCCAGTCACTCTGACCTCTCTCTGACCCCCCTCTCTGTCTCAGTAAAGTTGACTTTTTACTGTTTAAATCCCTTTATTTGCATAAAGAGATGAAGAGCATCGTCTGCAGAGAATGAATCCCCTTGTGGCGAACAGTTCACTCAATTTTATACCTTCCAAACTCCTGGTCTCCTCCTGAAATGTGTTCATCTATACCCTTTTAACCAGTCGCAATCACCCAGCCACTTCTGACAACACCTTAGATATGGGCCTCACTACCCTTCCTGAACAGCTGGGTCCTTCTATAGGATAAGCCCCCATTTTCTCCCATTCTCGCTGTTTTCTTTCTCAAGATGGCAGTGTAGTCCAATAGGCATTCCATTAACACACATGATATAATGTATACATTCCAGGAGGCCTGCAGGGAGACCACTGGTGCTCTACCCAGAACATAAACAGCCATAGGTCACCAAGATCACCTTCAATGGAGCTTACAACATCAGCCACACACGATACCAATGGATACATACACCACAGTAACACAAATTTCCTGACTTGATGACCAGAGACTTTTCAGTTAGAAGATGGGAACTTCCACCTCAGCTCACACCGGTCCTGCTCAGACCAACATGACAGCTCAGACAGGAGGAACCATCTGTGCTCCTGTTTTCCATGGAAACAATGTTCAAGGCTCAATGAATGTAACCATTATTCAGGGAGGTGAGTGATGTAGTGTAAGAAACTGTGCAAATTAATCGATCTGAAAATTTAAGGTTATATATAAGCCGTATATTATATAAGCGCACATGCAATAAATTAATTATACATCAGTCCGTTTTTTTTTTCAGTTTTTTTATTTTAGAGATATACAGAAACACAGTTCACTGATTTGTTATTAGTTTTAAGCAGCTTTGATAAAGTTCTGATATTTCCAGTTGTCTCTCCTCCAGGTCAGGAAGCGTCCAGTTCCAGCACCAGTACAGTTCAGGCTGGAGGTTCTCCTGGTGCTCCTGCTCTCACTGAAGGTAACGTCTTAATGTACACGTCACTGGTTATTTACTGCATTTCAACGTTCTGTAAATGGGCACATTTTCCATCATATTTAACCTATACAATATCAACAGGGAACACATGTGATTGAGGAGCCTACCACATATTTTTAAGGCCAGGAACTGTATCAAAATATCTATATAATGGTGATAATTGAGAATCCAGTGTTCTCTCTCAGTTCACAACTGGAACAAATATTTTTTTTTCCCCAAACATTGAAGTCCAAGGTCCATTAGAGGAACCACACATCTGTACATAATTTCTGTTTACCTTGTAGAATCTACACACTTTGATTAAGGCTGTGATGAATATTCTGTTAACATTGATTAGGAATTTAATGCTGAAATAATATACAGTGTACAGTATAAGTGTTCACTCCCTTGGAAAGGCTTTTTTTCTTATTAGTGCAGAACATTGAATCACAGTGGATTTGAGTTGTTTTACACTGAATCACATAAACAGACTAGAGATAAGAAGATAGAAGATATCTGCCAAGTGATTTAAATTAATTGTATATAAAAATATAAACCACTAAGTAAAAGATTGCACAACCATTCACCTCCATCAAGTCAGTACAATGGAGCTACACCTTAGGCAGGAATCACGTTGAATCTGTAGTTATTATATTGTTATAACCTAAGCACTGTGGTCTGTGTCAACTTTCACAAATGGACAGTGTGTGTAAACTCAAATTCAAACTTAGGGACAACTTCAAAATCAGAATCATATTATTTGAGCAAGTATGATGAACATAAAAGGAATTTGTGTTGGTGAGTCACACATTTATGACATTAACACACTGAACAGACCAGACTATAACACACAGACTGTTAACAAATATTTAAATAAGAGACAGATACAGTGAAATCCATCGAACAAAGAATAAAAAATGAAGAATAAAAAAGAGCCATGAGAAAGGAGTTAGTGATGTGTGGATATCTGTAGATGCTGGTAAAGTACACATACTATAAAATACATTATGCAACTACTATATACAGAATACTACAGAATGATAGACTTTTTTTAAAGATTTTGTTGCAGTTGTGCAAATAACCTTAAGAGGATTAGTGTATCTGGCAATCAATTGTTTTTAAAGAAATTTACTTTAAACATTTAAAAACATTTAAAAATGTATTTTATGTCTCCACTTCTCAGATTTGGTCAATGTACATAAACAAAAACTGATGAAGAAATTTAACAGTATTCATGAAGGAATCTCCCAGCATGGAACATCAACCCTTCTGAATGAGATCTACACAGAGCTCTACATCACAGAGGGAGGGAGTGGAGAGGTCAATAATGAACATGAGGTCAGACAGATTGAGACAGCATCAAGGAGACCAGCAACACAGGAGAAACCCATCAAATGTAATGACCTCTTTAAAGACAGACCCATCAAAACTGTGCTGACTAAAGGAGTCACTGGAATTGGAAAAACAGTCTCTGTGCAGAAGTTCATTCTGGACTGGGCTGAAGGAAAAGCAAATCAGGACGTCCTCTTCATATTTCCACTTCCTTTTAGGGAGCTGAATCTGATAAAGAAAGATTTCAGTCTGATGGAGCTTCTTCATCGCATTTTCCCAAATACAAAACAACTAAGATCAATAGACTGTGATGCTTACAGAGTCATATTCATCTTTGATGGTCTGGATGAGTGTCGACTTCCTCTAGATTTCCAGAACAATGAGAGCCTGTGGGATGTAACAGATTCAGCCTCAGTGGATGTCCTACTGACAAACCTCATCAAGGGGAATCTGCTTCCCTCTGCTCTCCTCTGGATAACCACTCGACCAGCAGCAGCCAATCAGATCCCCCCTGAGTGTGTTAACTTGGTAACAGAGGTACGAGGGTTCAGTGACCTTCAGAAAGAGGAGTACTTCAGGAAGAGAATCAGTGACCAGAGCCTGGCCAATAAAATCATCTCACACATGAAGTCCTCAAGAAGCCTCTACATCATGTGCCACATCCCAGTCTTCTGTTGGATTGCAGCCACTGTTCTAGAGAGAGTGTTGGGGGGAGCAGAGAGTGGAGAGATCCCCAAGACTCTGACTCAAATGTTCACCCACTTCCTGATCTTTCAGATCAAACACAGGAATCAAAAGTACCATGGAAAATGCGACATTGATCCTCAGCCGACTAGAGAGATGATTCTGGCACTGGGAAAACTGGCTTTCCAACAGCTGGAAAAAGGCAATCTGATCTTCGATGAGGAAGACCTGAGAGAGTGTGGCATTGATGTCAGAGAAGTGTCAGTGTACTCAGGAGTTTGTACCCAGATCTTCAGAGAGGAGTTTAAGCTGCATCTGGGGAAGATGTTCAGCTTTGTGCACCTGAGTGTTCAGGAGTTTCTAGCTGCTTTATATGCATTTCTCTACTTCACCAGCAGAGATGAACTAAAACAGCAAATCACTGGTCTCTCTGGTATTTTCAGAGAATCCAAAATGTCAGATTTTCTTAAATCTGCAGTGGACAAAGCCTTACAGAGTGAGAATGGACACCTGGATCTTTTCCTCCGCTTCCTTCTGGGCCTCTCACTGGAGTCCAATCAGACTGTCTTACGAGGCCTACTGACACAGACAGGAAGCAGCTCTCACAGCAAAGACGAAACTGTCCAGTACATCAAAGAGAAGATCAGGGAGAATCCATCTCCAGAGAAATCCATCAATCTGTTCCACTGTCTAAATGAACTGAATGATCATTCTCTACTGCAGGAAGTACAAACATACCTGAACAGAAGAGATGACTATTGTCTCATTGGAGTCAGTCTCTCTCCTGCCCAGTGGTCAGCTCTGGTGTTTGTGTTGCTGAACTCAGAAGAGGAGCTGGATGAGTTTGACGTGGAAAAATATGTGCAATCAGAGGAATGTGTTCTTAATCTGCTGCCAGTGATCAAAGCCTCTAGCAGAGCTCTGTGAGTATTTCCGTTATAAATGTATTACGGCACTGTTTATTAATTTAACACTGGATAAAACTGCACTGATTAGAATAATGATTTTCATTAGTTACTCTTATCAGTTTCACACACACCACTGACAGTCTAATAGATGTGTTGTGTGTGTGCATGTGTCAACTGTAATGTTAGTTGTGGTTCTTTACATAATCATATTATTAAACATAAACTCTATTACATTAAGTCAATAATAATAACCACCGTAAATCAATGTGAATTATTTCATAGATATTGTCAATATTTGTATAAAAATGTGCAATTAAATGAAAAGTCTTTAACACACAATCTGCTCTAAACAGAAATAACAATCAATGTCAAGGAGATAAAGGGAGGGAGAGAGATCACAATAAAATAGAGAGAGAGAGAACACAATGAAATACAGAGAGAGAGAGAGAGAGCAATGAATGTGGGGATGTATGTTTGTGTGTTTGTATGTGATTGTGTGTGTATGTGTGTATATTTGTGAGTCTGTGTGTGAATGTGAGATTTTGTGTGTGTGTGTGATGTCAGTGTTCTAATGCATCATCATTTCTCTCCCAGGTTGAGCAACTGTTTTCTCACAGAGAAAACCTGTGCAGCTCTGTCCTCAGCTCTCAGCTCAAACTCCTCCAGTCTGAGAGAGCTGGACCTGAGTGAGAATGAACTGATGTGGGATTCAGGAGTGGAGCTGCTCTCTGTTGGACTGAAGTACCCACAGTGTAAACTGGAGAAACTGAAGTAAGATCATCACTTTATTAATGTATATGTGTTTGTCTATTTTTGTGTATCAATATGAATGTGTGTGTATGTGTATGTATGCATGTGAGTTACTGTATGTGTCACTCACACTCAAATATTTATAGAAAAAAGTCTGCAATATCTTTTATTAGAAAGAGAAAGAAATATTGAAGCAGAAAGAGAGAACAAAATGAAATACACAGAGAGAGAGAACACAATGAAATACAGACAGAGAGGGAACACAATGGAATACAAAGAGAGAGAGAGAGAGAGAGAGAGAGAGATCTTAATGGAATACAGAGAGAGAGAAAGAGAGAACGCAATGAAATACAGAGTAAGAGAGAACAGTGAAATACACAGAGAGAGAACACAATGAAATACAGAGAGAGAGAGTTTGTTTAGTGTTAATCAAACTTTATTCACACTATTGGGTCAAAGGTAACAATACAGCCTTATTAAATAAATAAATAAATAAAACTATAAAACACGATAACATGCTTCACTGTAAAAGGTCAGTAAAGGTTAAAATTCCAAAACTGATTTTACAAAGGGCCCCCCATAATCCCACACCATCTCAAAACCATCATGATCCTTCATAGCATCATAAAACAAAATACACCTTGGGCCTGTGTCATTCTTCTAAAAAGGATGCAAATGTCACAGTCATGACCTGCGTCCAGTTTCTTCTTTCTGCTTAAATAAATGGCCATCTTGGCTTGACCCAAAGAGAATCAACATGGATAAGGCACTGACCCCCTTCATCTCTTGGTAAAAGGAGTACACTTTCACTGAACCCAGTGAAGCTTGTCCCAAATAAAATCAACAATTGCCTGAATACCAGTTAAAAGATCTCGAGGGGGTTCCGGAACAGCCAAACGGTGCCAGAGGGAAGATGCTACTAGATCATTAACAATCAAGGTTCTACTTCTAAAAGACATCCTTGGTAAAAGCCACCGCCACTTCCCTAGCCGATCTTGTACAGCTTGTAAAACTCCTTCACAATTCTTTTTAACTATATCTTCATCTCCCACAAAGACCCCTAAGTATTTGAAACCTCCCCTAGACCATTTCAAACTCTCTGGCAAAGTTGGCTCCTCTTCATCCCAGTCCCCTACCAGGAGTCCCACACTCTTGGCTCAGTTCACCTTCGCTGAGGAATCTTTGTTAAAATCTCCAGTGATATTGGTTAAAATTCTATCATCACTATTTTCCTGTGATGGACTGGCAACCTGTCCAGGGTGTATCCTGCCTTCCTCCCAATGACAGCTGGGATAGGCTCTAGCACCCCACCGCGACCCAGAAGGATAAGCGGTTTAGATGATGATGGTGTGTGTGTGTGTGTGTGTGTGTGTGTGTGTGTGTGTGTGCATATTTCCAGCGATGCCTATCACTACATTCTCAGCATATGCCGCTAAATAAAAACATGGAATGTCCAAGTCCAGACATACACCTAAAAGGTCTCTTCTAAGACGGTGAAGCATGGGCTCAATGGCTAAAGAGTACAGCATTCCTGATAGGGAACAGCCCTGTCTAATACCCCTCCCAACTTTAAAAAAGGCACACAAACCACCACTGACCTTAAGCACACTCTCAATGTCACTATAAGGCACCTTCACCATTCAAACAAAAACATTAAAAGTATCCCACAGATAGTCATGCTCAGCCCTCAGCCCTGTCAAAAGCTTTTTCCTGGTCCAGAGAGACCTACCCAAAGTGGATACCCCACCCAGACACCTCCAGAATATCTCTAAGAAGAGAAATATTATATAAGATAGATCTGCCCGGGACACAGCAGGCCTGATCCATATGTATGGCCTGCTCAATCACCTCCTTCAGCCAATTTGCTAACACTTTGGAGAGAACTTTATAGTCAGCGCACAGCACGCTCACAGATTTTTTTCACTGAGATCTCCTTTTTAGGCAGAAGGGTGAGGACTACTCTCCTGCAGCTCAGCAGTAGCAGCCCACCGACCAGACTATCACTGAGCACCACAAGCAGATCCTACCCCACCACCACCCAGAAAGACTTACAGAAATCAACTGGCAGACCTTCAATACCTGGAGCCTTTACATTAGCCACATCCTGTAGTGCCCTATGCAGCTCCTGCATGGACACAGGCCATGTCAATTCCTTGTTGGTGTCAGGTGACACCTGCAGTAAACCCTCATAAAACCTCTGCTGTGCTGACTGGTCCTCTATCCGCTCAGGAAAATAGAGCTCATAATACAATTGACCTGCTGGGTCAGTGAGCTTCCTGCCATTAGCGGAACAGAGGCAGTGAATGACCCTACTCTGGCCATTCTTTTTCTCCAGACTGAAAAAAAGCTGTGATGAGGCATCCGTTTCAGAAATATTCTGAAAGCAAGATCTGATCAGTGCGCCCTGAGCCCGCAGGCCAAACAGATCTGCTAGAGCGACCTTCTTACCCTTTAGTGTCTGGGTGTGACTATGATTCTCTCTGGACTCTATAATATCTTTGAGAAACATAATCTCTGCTTCAAGGTCATTAACAGAGTTGATGATAATGTTCATGACATTGAGAGTGTACTGTTTGGACAGCTACAAATTCAGCAATTTTGCAATGTCCCACCATTGTTGTAGAAAAATAAAATCATTCTTCTTTGACTTCCAAGTGCCACAGAAAAACAGTAAAACTAAATCTAAATTTGGTATAATTTAAAAGAGGCATGTTAAAGTGCCAGTAAATGCTCTTAAATTTAACATTATTGATAAAAATGTGCCCTCTCACCATACTATGATCAGTTAAACCGATCAGGGTGATAAAATCAGGGTGGGGCAGTCATGGGCTGGAGGAAACTGAACTAGTATGTGACTGAAGTGCCCTTGAGCAAGGTACCTAACCCCCAACTGCTCCCCGGGCCCTGCGGATAGGGCTGCCCACCGCTCCGGGCAAGTGTGCTCACTTTTAGCCCCCTAGTGTGTGTGTGTTCACAAGTGTGTATGTGGTGTTTCACTGCACGTATGGGTTAAATGCGGAGGTGGAATTTCCCCATTTTGGGACTAATAAGGGTTACTTATTGATGCTTAAAACAATAAAACCTGTCCAACCTAGCCATGAAAACAAAACCATCCCTAGCATGTGCCCATATACACTGCCAAGTATTACTGTACCTGGAGGGCCACACATCAGCCGGGTCATGTGTTTCAACCATGTTATTTAAAATGGCCTTTTAAAAGCAGGCTTCTTATCTTTTGACTGCCTCACTCTGTCCGATTTCCCCAATTTCCATACAGTCCTTATCACCCCCAGTGCTACACTTCGATTCAGAGGGATTCACCTCCTCAGTTTGCTCCATTATCCCATCTCACTTGTGCTGATCTGAACCATTTGCACCCTCCCCCTGTGGTGCTGCAGCCGGCGGGGTCTCCAGCTGACTCACACCTGCCTGAGCAAGCCCAGCATGGCCAGACCCAGCCCGAGCCCCCCGCCACCCACTCTGGGCAGCTCCGCACTAGGTGCCCCTCAGTCCTGCAGCTAAAACACTTAATTGTCCCTGTGGTAGCAAACACAACATAATCAAACCTGCCAATTCTAAACTTTAGCACTGTGTTCAGTTCCTCTTCATCTTTCTTTAAAACCATAAACACGTGTCTCCTAAATGAGACGACATGTTGCAGCAGTGGGGATTTGCAGCCCAGAGAAGTCTTCTGTACTGCTGAAACCACATGATCATGTTGAGACAGCTCATGAAGCAGAACCTCATCACTAGTAAATGGGGGACATTTCTCAGTATAACTTTCCTGGCTGGGTTAACCAGGGGAAACACTGATGTGTGTCTTTCAGCACAATCCCCCACTCCACCAGCGTGTTTACTTTCTCCACTTCAATCAGAAACAGAATAATAGGGCTATTCATTCTAGAAGCTGACTTTATTGTCTCACACCCCACCACAGCTCCTACTGCTAAGCTCTACTCCTCCACCAAGACCTCCACACCGACTGGTACTTTAATGCCATGCCGACACGTGAGGCTCTCAAACTTTACCCACCGCACATGCGCACAGAGAGAGAACACAATGAATGTGTGTGTGTGTGTGTGTGTGTGTGAGAGAGAGAGAATGTGTGTGATGTCAGTGTTCTGATGTAACATCATTTCTCTCCCAGGCTGTGTCAGTGTAATCTCACAGAGAAAAGCTGTGCAGCTCTGTCCTCAGTTCTCAGCTCAAACTCCTCCAGTCTGAGAGAACTGGACCTGAGTGACAATGAACTGCTGCAGGATTCAGGAGTGAAGCTGCTCTCTGCTGGACTGGAGAATCAACACTGTAAACTGGAGATACTGAAGTAAGAGCATCACTGTGTCTCTATATGTGAGTGATCTATACAAATACACTCACAAACATTCATAGAAAAAACTGCAAAAACTCAGTTCTGTCTTTAAATAGAGAGGAAAAAAGAAAGATGGAAAGAGAGAGAGAGAGAGAGAGAGAGAGAGAGTAACCACAGAGAAACAGAGAGCAAGACAAAAAACAATGTAAAGAGAGAGAGCAGAGAGACAAAGATAGGCAGATTAGAGAGAGAGACAGATACAAAAAGAAAGAAAGTGACAAAAATGACCAATGAGAAACAAAGAACAAGAGAGAGAAGCCGAAAAAGCAGAGATATGAGAGAGACAGACAGATAAACACACACACTTTCATATCTCTGTATGATTTAATGACTCACTAACAGTTTTCTACAATTAAATCAGGAAAAAACTAAAATGCTGACCGTTGGTACAAAAACTAAGAGAAAGTGAGAAACTTGGTTCTTTATCTTCATAAACCAAACCTGCAGTAGAAACCTGGGTGGGATCTTAGACTCTGAGCTCTATTTAACCTGCATGTAAACACAGTCACTAAAGCAGTTTTTTAACATGTGAGAAAATCACTAAAGTTCAGCCATTTCTCTCTTAGAGCGACGCAGAGAAACTTGTTGCTATGTTTGTTCAGCAGTGTTGATCGCTGTAATGATCTTACTGGAGAAAAAAGTCCATTCTCTAGAACTCATACAGACCACAGCAGCACGGATCCTCACAGCACCAACACAGAGAGCTCATATCACCCCGTTTTATAACTGCACTGGCTGCCTGTATCATTCAGGATAGATTTTAAAGTTCTGCTACTAGTTTTTAAGGCCCTAAATGACCTTAAAGCTCCTGAATGTCTGTCTGTTTATGATCTTAGATCTGCAGATACTGACCTTCTGAACACCTTCAGTAAAACACAGAAAACGTGGAGAGACTCTTTCAGTTATCCTGCTTCTAAACTGTGGAGCTCAGTTCAGCTTTTATTAGACAGTCGAGCTCAGAGCTCACTTTTAATAAACATCTGAAAATGCAGCTTTTTAACTCAGCACTTCATTAAAACTCTACATCTCATGGTATTTATCTTTCAATTTAATCTGTTTCATTTTCTTATGATTCTAAATTAATACTTATAATTTCTTGTATTACTGTTTAACTTTATCTCCTCTCTGTAAAGCACTTTTAGCTGCCACCAGCATGAAAAGTGCAAAATAAAAAATTATTATTATTATTATTATTATTATTATAATTTTCACACATATTAGACACATTGTCTATAATAATCAGTAGGACCCTTAATAATCAGTAAGACACTTTTTTATATATAGTGCTGTCAATGCAGTAAAGTATCTGTGAGGAATCCAGTTTGGAGGAAAAACACAAAACTCACTTCTTGCACTCAATTTCACAGTTTTTTTTTCCTGATTTATAAACCATACTTAACAAAATTTGGGTCAGTGTAATCTCCATTGCCTTATTTTTCACATATTTTATAAGCATTTGTACCAGTGGCAGACGGAACCAGGCGCTCACAGACAAGGCTAAAGTTGAAAGCTTTAATGCCAAAAGGATGATCCCAAACCACAGTCGTAAGACAGAAACAGATAGTCGAAAACCAGAGATCCAAAACTGAGCAAAGGAGCAAGACAAAAAGTAAGGTCATGAACGGAAAATTGGTCAGCAGCTTACGACTGTTCTCCCACGTGGATAACCAAACCCTGTCTCCTGGCTGAAAGGAGGGGATCTCCCTACAACGCCTGTCAGCTTGTTCCTTAGTGCGCTGAAGGTGTGCCTCAATGCTGCAATGAATCAATGTGTTCCCAGAATCCAGACCACACTCTAGAAGTGAATTGAGAACCTCTATCAGACACTATATCTTACACAGATTACGAAAAATGTGGCTGTACAGTGCTAAGGCAGTGATTTAAAAGGAATGAACCTAATGCCTCTTGAAAAACAGTCTACTATAGTCTGAACAGTAGTAAAACCGTCAGATGGAGATAAATCAGTAACAAAATCAACTGCAATATGTGACCATGAATGTTCTGGCACAGGGAGAGGCATTACTTTATCAGCTAGGAGAGTTTTAGGTGTTGTGCTTTGAGCACATACAGAACATGATGAGACAAACTTGTGTACATCCTGTTTAAGTGTTTCCCACCAATAGCAGTTTGTCAGAAGTTGTTGTGTGTGGAATTCATCAGGATGACCAGAGGTGAGAGAGGAGTGAGCCCAAGTAACAAGACAGTCACAAAATTGAACTGGTACATACAGCCTATTTTGTGGACATCTGTCTGGGATGTTGCAATTTTCTGTTGCTCTAGTGTTCTCTTCATCAGTTTCCCAGCAAATGGATGCTATGTGGACAGAGGAAGAATAGACTCAGGCTCTGACTGATTCTCTCTTTAAAAGTCTGGGCGAATTATTGACAATGCATCAGCTTTTGAATATCATGAATCAGGACGATAAGAGATACTGAATTAGAAATGGGAGAAGAAAAGGGACCAGTGAGCCTGTTGAGGGTTTAAACGCTTAGCGGAATGAAGGTATTCTAAGTTCTTATGTTCAATTAGGACTAGGAAAGGATAAGCAACTCCCTCTAACCAATATCTCCATTCCTCTAATGTGAGCTTAACAGCCAAGAGCTCACGATCACCTATACCATAGTTCTGTTCTGCAGGGGTCAGTTTGTGTGAGTAGAAGACTATGAGGTGAAGTTTCTCAGATATACCACTACGCTGGGATATTACCACACCTACATTTTTGTTTTATTTTTTGCCATGTTATTGAGAATACAGTAATCAATGCAAGACCGCCATTCTTTTTTTTGTTTTTTGCAAAGAAAAATCCAGATGTGGCTGGAGATGTTGAGGGTGAATAAAAGCTTGTGCTGGTGCCTGGTCAATGTACTCCCCCATCGCTTTCTCTTCTTCTTGGGTAAGAAGGATAAGCACGGGATTTAGGTAGTGTAGTACCCTCTAGAATATCTATGGAACTGTCGTATGTGTGATGAGGTGGCAGTTGAATGGCATTCTTTTTACTAAATACCTCAATCAAGTCAGAGTATTCGGGGGGGAATTTGAGTATTGTGTGTGGGTTTTGCGCTTTCTATTGAATTAAATTCTGTGTTTTTCTGTGAGATGTGTTAAATGCTTTGATAAATTCTTTCATTTTGAGTAGAGGTGTGTTTAAAATACAAACTGCCTTAAAGCTCATAGTTACATAACTCTGACAGAATCCACTGTCTGATTTATATTTCTCTCAATATTTAACGTCGTTACAAAATCAGTTTTGTATTTTTTCTGCCTGTGATTAAAAACTCATCTACAGTCTCCTTTATCAATGTGTACAGTCAGCAAATGAAGTATATCCAAGATGCCTTTGACTTCTCTAGTAGCTTCTGTGTTCTTTTTTGTCAAGGAAAAAGGTAGAGGTCTATACCCTTGTATCGACTGTAAGGAACTAAATCAGACCACCAAAACCTACTCTTATCCTCTTCCCCTTGGCCCAGTAGCAATAGAACAGTTAAAGGGAACTAAATACTTCACAAAATTAGATCTCAGGAGTGCCTACAATCTTATAAGAATTGAAGAGGGAAATGAGTGGAAACCCGCCTTTGTGACCACTAGGGGGCACTGTGAGTACTTAGTAATGCCTTTCGGTCTCTCAAATGCCCCCTTTGTCTTCCAAGCCTTCATTAATGGCGTCCTAAGGGACATGATACCCTGATCCTTCTGAACCTTTTATTGTGGAGGTAGACACTTCAGAGACTGGGATCAGGGCAGTTTTTTCCCAATATTCTGGCAACCTCCAAAAACTTCACCCTGTAGCCTTCTACTCCCACAAACCTACACCTACAGAGAAAAACTATAGAATTGAGATTGTGAGTTATTAGCTGTAAAACTTGAATTAGAGGAATGGAGACACTGGTTAGAGGGTGCCAATCACCCCTTAATTGTACTAACAGATCACAAAAGCTTTGAGTAAGTTCACAATGCTAAATGCCTCAACGCTAGCCAAACTCAATGGTCACTCTTCTTTTCTAGATTTAACGTTATTATTACTTACTGTCCCTGATCTAGAAATACAAGCGCTGATGCATAGTCTAGAATGCATGAAGACGATATTGATCAGTCTGCCTATGAACCCATTCTTCCCCCTAATGTTAATATATCCTCTATCCACTGGGAGATCAATGTTGAGATTGAGAAGGCATTAGAGAATACTCAAATGCCCAGTCAGTGCCCAGCAGTTGCTGTCCAACTTATACTGGCGGGAGACCATAAACAAGGACATTCATTCTTTTGTAACTTCATGATCCACATGCTCAAAATGTAAAACTCCCAAGACTTTGCCTCCTGGCCAACACATCCCTTTGCCTGTACCCATCCAACCCTGGTCCCATATAGCTATAGACTTTGTCATCGATCTGCCTGAATCACAAGGGTTTATTACCATCCTCACTGTAATAGATAGATTTTCATGTGGTGTAAGCTTCATTCCATTTCCTTCTCGTCCTACCACATTCCAAACTGCAGAGAATTTATTCAATTAAGTATTTCAATATTTTGCCATTCCAAAGGACTTTGTCTGATAGAGGTCCACAATTTACTTTTGCAAGTTTGGTCAGCATTCTTTGAACATGTAGGGATCTCCATCTGCTTGACATCTGGATATCATCCCCACTCCGAGGCCACCCCACACTGACCCTTCATCATGCTCCACACGCTCCAATCACCAGTCTCAGTCTCCCAAATACTAATGTTTTACTTGTTGTCCTCTAGTTAGTGTTAGTATAAAGCCCAGGCTTTTAGGTTAGCTTCTTGTGAGGTTTTGCTTCTTTCCAGGAGCAACCGAGCATTTCATTTCTGTATTGTGATTTCCCATTTCTGACTGATTTCCTATATTTTGACTTTGCCCTTTTTATCTGATCCCTTCAGACTGTTTTCACCTGGTGTTATGTTTGTGTTTTTTTAGCTTTTGTACCTTGTACCTGTGCCTGTTTACTCACTACAATTTCGGATCACAACTCAAACAGTAAAGCCTATTTTTCCCTTTTCATCCATGAGTGAAGTCCTTGGTTCCTCTCAAGTTTTGTTAAGTATGGTTTACATTTACGGCATTTTGGCAGACGCTTATATCCAGAGCGACTTACAATTTGATCATTTTACACAGGTGGATGAAGGTAGTGTTGGAGGTAGGAGTCTTGCTGAAGGATATTTATTAGTATAGTGTTGGGTGCTTGCCCCAGCCTCCAGCACAGAAGTTTTGCCCACTACAATACACCACCACAGTTTTTCCTTGACACTGTCACCATTGGCTTGGTCATGGGGGCTCAGATCCAGATTTTTCTGTAAAGCTGCTTTGTGACAACACCTGTTAAAAAAGCGCTATATAAATAAACTTTGATTTGACTTGAGTGTCTGACTCATTCTGTCACATTACATGAACTAATCAGGAAAAAACTAACTCAGTTTGTTCTTTGAGAGAGATATAAAATATAGTTATTGTTTTGGAACTGTAGCTGTTTGTCTCTGACAGTTTAGCATTGTATTCAGATGAACATGACGGAAAGAAAGAAAGAGAGAGAGGCGGGACAAAGAGAGACAGGGTTTCAGAGTGTTTCTTTGAGTAAATTGTGTGTGTGTGTGTATGACTGTGTGTGTGTGTGTGTGTATGACTGTGTGTGTGTGTGTGTGTGCTGATCTGTGAGTTTCTCCTCTCTGCAGGCTGGAACTCTGCAGTATCACAGATGAAGGCTTTGCTGCTCTGGCATCAGCTCTAAAATCAAACCCCTCCTCTCACCTGAGAGAACTGAACCTGAACTTCAATGAACCAGGAAAGTCAGGAGTGAAGCTGCTCTCTGATCTACTGAAGGATCCACACTGTAAACTGGAAACACTACAGTGAGTTACTTTCTCTACACGCACACACACACACACACTAATACTCATACACACACACATAAACACACACAAATACCCCCACACATGCACACACTCACAGAAACAGTGTGCTATGTGTGAATAATCTAGAGGTGTGTATAAGTGAATAAATATGTTTAGTTTAGATTGTGTGTGTGTGTGTGTGTGTTGTAATAAAAATGACAATTTATTTCAAATGTTAATTAATTGTAGCACAAACATGCTCTAATTAATTGGTCTGTTATATAACCTCTTAGAAAAACCAGTTAATTTGCAGTGAAATGATTATTAGTGTTGTGTTTATATATATATATATATATATATATATTATATATATATATAATATATATATATATATATATATATTAGAGATGGAGTAAGATGGAGTTTAGACCCTGATGGATCAAACCTTAAATATTCATCACTAAAACTCTAACTGGAGCAGCTTTGATGTTTTTATTCTTTAATGAATTAAATTGTATTTTTGCTTGATTTTCTTCATGAAGTTCATGACGGGACCAGACAAGTTCTAGGTGTGCTGGCGTTGAATGACCTATAGGTGTGAGTTCATGTCTGATGATTCTCTTCTCTTACAGCATCGACCCACTATCCAGCTGATCTGCTCTCACACACAAAGGATTATGAGGAGAGGATGAAGTCTTAGTACCATGTAGAACCTTATACTGAGTGTGTGTTTGTACTATGTGTGTGTGTTTGGGTTCTTATTATCAAATCTGTGAACACGCCTGCAGCACAGGACTGTTTGATCTCACCATAACATCACCTCCTGTACACCAATGACTGCACCCTCAGCAACCTGTCCATCAAACTCCTCACACTGATGGACAACCCAGCATTGGTGATGAGAGTGTGTACAGGAGGGAGGAGCACCGTTCATCATGGCAACAACATGAGCTCAACACTCTAAACCAGCGGAAACGCTGATAGAGTTTATAAACTTTAACAACATGAGCCTCTTGAACAGCTGAATGACCTGAAACTCTGCTATCTTTCTGTTAGTCATGAGTATAGTTTTTTTTCTGATTATTCTGAAATTCCCACTGCATTCCTTCAACCCCTGAACACCCCAGGGACTCAGCTCTGACTCTGCCATCAACAGGATCGCTGACCTTTGATATGGCGGAACTACATAGTGTCCTGTTACTGACTCACGCAGGAGGCATGGCAACATGCACAGGCTCATGGGAGTCTCCGTGGCTCAGTAGACGAGACAGAAATAATAATTAAAAAGTAAACAACTTGGTTGTATTAAAATGTTGAGATACATTTGGTACTTCTAATAGTAAGCTAGTGGTGTATTTTATTTTCTTTCTAACTATTATATATATATATATATATATATATATATATATATATATATATATATATATATATCTCAAGTGTTTCGAGAATTCAGTGCGGGGGTGTCTCCTGGGTATGCTGCTGCTGGTGGGCACCCTGAGGGAGAGGACACAGCCCCAAAACTACCCCACGGCATGTGCATTTTCCAGGTTGGTGGACATTCTGAAATTACAACCGCATTCCACCAACTGCTGAAAGCCTCAGGGACTAAGCTCTGACTCTGCCATCAACAGGATGGCTGGCTTTTCAAATGGGGGACTTTATAGTGTCCTGTTACTGACTTGTGTGGGACTCATGGCCATGTGCACAGACTCACACTGTGACTTGGTAGATGAGACATAATGTATTAATAAGTGGTGTTTGGTTTAAAATGTGTGGTATGGGTTGCTTGTGCTTTACTGGGCTTCGTTCATTAAGTGTGCATATTTTGTGCAGACAGAGTTTTCCAAAATAATGTATATATTGCATGTACTGTCTTATTTCCAATAAAACTCTTTGTGTTTGATCAGCCAAAAATGACCTGGCTTTGCTCCTTTTCCTCCACCGTGATAAAAATGACTGAAATGCATAAGATACAAAAACATTCTACTTCCATTCATGTACTGTAAAAAAATAATAATAAAATGGAATTAAACAACTTGGTTGGAATAAAATCTTGAGACAATTTTACAGGCTTTATTGTCATTGCAGTTATAAATAAGTACACAGTGAAATGAAACAGCATTCCTTCAGGACCAACATAGGAACACAAGTGCAAGATAATACCATAAGCACTGAGCAGACAATACAGTACAATAAATAAATATGAAAAACTTACAATAAATACAGAACAGAACACAGGCAGTACACGGTACTCAGAGTATGTGGAACTTTGCAAAGTAGGATGTAAAATACTATGACATTAGCAGCTTAGCAGAGAGCCTAGCATATATGAGCATAGCAGTCACTGAAGTAGCAACAAGAGCAGCAATATACAGTATAGAGTATTTGGTTGATACAGTAATGCTAGCAGTGATAACACTGATAAAGTGAAGTAAAATGTGCAAATATGCAAGTTTATATTTACTTGTTTAAGTTTGTCTTTAATAAAGCCAAATGATTTCTTATAGCACACTTATTCTCCATGTAATACAGCCAAATGATTGTCCACAGAATTTGGACATGAGTTTGGCATTTTGAAAGTTCCTGCTTAGTTCAGTTTCAAAAACAGATACGATACTGATACACATTTTCCACAGTATGTGTTCTGTTCATATCAGATGTGTCTTCCTGCTTTCTGTTTCGTCTTTTTGACTATGTATGTCATTACATAGCAATGTGTAGTTCCCACTGTATGGCAGAATAACATCTGTATATATTGTATGAATTATGTATGAATGTTGATTTGCATGTCACTTTACTGTATGGAGAGTAAATACATTATGATCATTTGTCTTTAATGAAGAAGTTTGCAGACGTTTGGTTACTATCTGTATCGACTTAAAACAGAATGTTTACAGTACATAGATAGAAGTAAGATTACACTGCATTCAATTACAGAGATACAAATAACATGAATTTCAGTCAGATGAGTTAGTTTTTATCACTTACACTGAGGCGAAGACCTGCCTGCTCAAATATGGAGAGTTTTGTTGGAATTATATACAGAAAGAAAATAATATTATAATCATAATCTGAGTAAAATTATATTTCAACTCAGAGCTTCATAATTCCCATCTCTAATTGTTCACACCACCTCAGCTGTTTGAAGTCAGATAAATGGGAGCTCACAGTAAACTACTGCATTTAGAGCTTTATTTATTTAAAAAATGGATATAGATTATGGGAATTCACTATTTATTTATGGCTGAAAATTACATGACAATTACACACACAGTGATTCTACATTTATATTACAGGAGTATCTCCTCATATTTAGTGTGGAACCCAGCTGTTGACTTTCATTCATGATGAAAATAATGAGTGGGCCATAACATGTGAGGTATGTGAAGGACTTAACTCTACTACTTAACTGTTACAGCTTAAAGAAGAGTTCTGACAATTAAGCAAAGTCCATCAGAGTGATTTGTTGTGAAATTATCCTTTCTAAGCTGTTTACACCTTTTATTAACATGTGTTTCATGTCTGAATCATATCTGGATAACATTTCACCAGACTCTTTTAATCAAAATGCATCTCAGCTGTGACCAGATGAGATCCGATTTGCTTCCCTGTTAAAAAGCTCATCAACATGAGGCATCTCCATTTCATTTTTGTTTTCTTTTTTTCTCATTACAATACAAGTGGACAAGCTTGGCTTGGACAGTGTCATCTGCTTAGAGAGAGAAGGTTGCTGAACTCCAGCCTCGCATATCCTCCATCTTTCATTTAGTTATTGAGTCAGATCACTCATGTTTATGAGAGAAATGAATGGAGTTTTTGAAAATCACCTCTTTCACATCCAGTGATAATGAAAAACATTCTAAAGCTGGTACTTTTTTCTATGAACATTTCTTTTCTCAAATATCACTGGATCCTCTGAATTATAGGTCATCAAATCCTTAAACCTCAAACAAGAAGCTGGCAAAAAAGAAGCAACTTCAGTATCATGGAGAGTGGAAAGACCTGATATGAGCAGATTGCTCTGTTTCTGCTTAACAGAGTGACATTAACTTACTTTTGCTGTTTCACAGAACCAACAGGTCAGTATTGTTTTGTTCCATTAGCTAATGTTTGTGATGGCTAATCATAACTGCTGCACCATTTAAGGTGGAACGGGAAAACTTGAAAAAGAAGGTAAATTTAGCCTCACAGTTTTAAGGCTGGTAGTAGAGTTGATAAGTTTTTGGCTAAATATCATAACTAGAGTTACGTAGTAGTTACGTAGTGACGTACAGACGACGCACAGATGCACAGACTGCTGACCCGCCGCTCCAGCTCTATCTTTCAGCGCTATCGTTCCTAAATCAACCAAAAACGGTAAGTTCCTGCAATACCATGGCTACTGCTGGTTTCTTTGCCTGCTCAGAGTGTGGCATGTTTAGTTTAATCCCCTTTTCCACCTCTAGCGATAATGATAGTGGCTGTGTTTGTGCTAAGTGCCAGCTAGTTAGCTCCCTGGTGGAAAAGGTGGACCAGCTAGAGGTGCGCATTCGGGATTTATTAAGGGACAGACAGCGAGATTCACCGCTAGCAGCCCTGGGTGCCTTAGGGAGAGTCAGCACCCCCTCAACTCCAGCATTAGAGCCCTCACAGCGGGGTGAATGGGTGACGTCTCGGCGACATAGCCGGAAAGCTAAGGCTAATGCTAATGCTGGGGCCAAAGCTAGCCCACCAGAACACCACGCTCCTCCGATTCACGTGTCAAACAGGTTTGCCCCGTTTAGCGAAACACCCGCTGAGGAGCCTGTTAAAAGTGCTCTGGTTATAGGAGACTCGATCGTTCGACACGTGAAATTAGCTACTCCTTTAGGGGTGCCAGCAGTAACAGTTAGCTGTTTACCGGGAGCCAGAGCGCCGGACATTAGCGGCAACCTTAGACTGTTAGCTAATAAGAGATATTCGAGGATAGTCATCCATGTAGGGGCCAATGATATTCATCTGCGGCAGTCTGAGGTAACTAAGTGTAACATTAGAGAGGTGATTAACTGGCCCAGACGATGTCCGATGCCGTAATCTGCTCTGGTCCCATCCCAATGCGGCGCGGCGCTGAAGCCTACAGCAGACTCTCAGCGTTAAACTGCTGGATGTCCAAGTGGTGTTCGGAAAATGAAGTGGGCTTTATAGATAATTGGTTACATTTCGAGGGCAAGCCTGGTCTTATAGGTAGGGATGGTGTCCACCCCACGCGGGAGGGTGCTGCCTTACTTTCTTGCAGCATAGCACATAGTCTTTTAGTTAGTCGGCAGAGTAGTGTAAACAGCTGCTGACAATCCAGAGCCGGGACCAGGCCGCAGACAGACAGGCTAAACCGACCGTCTGTGAACCGCCTTGAGGCGTCACCTAGGATCCACTATATTGAGACTGTGTCTTTGCCCCGAATTAAATCAAAATCTAAATGTAGAAAAACTCAATCAGCCTGCTTCAATAACCTAATCAATATTAAATCATATTTAGATGATAGCAGCAACACCTCAGTTCTAAAATTTGGGTTATTCAATATAAGATCACTAAACTCAAAAGCAGTCATCATAAATGAAATAATAAGTGATCATAAATTTGACATTTTCTGTCTCACTGAAACATGGGTTAGACAGGATGAATATTCAGCACTAAATGAAGCCACCCCTATAGGCTATAATTATGTACACAGCTCAAGATTATCAGGCAAAGGAGGTGGATTATGGGTAATCGACCAGAATACCCTAGATATCAGTCAGAAACAATGTGACACTTTCACTTCTTTTGAGGTTCTTTCCATCAACATTACAAATCTGGCCACAAAAAAAGAACACATTTTCATTATTTAACATTTACAGACCACCAGGACCCTACTCAGAATTCCTAAAAGAATTTAGTGATTTCGCTGCAAACCTAGCTGTGTGCAGTGATAAAGTAATGATTGTAGGAGATTTTAATATCCATTTTGAGAAGGCAGATGACCCACTAAAAAAGGCATTTACTTCAATCCTAGACTCTGTTGGTATTACCCAAAATGTAACAGGGCCTACACACTACTGTAGTCACACTTTAGACTTAGTTCTGACACTTGGACTTGACATAGACAGGCTTAGTATCCTACCGCAAACCTCAGTAATCTCTGACCATTACTTAATTTCTTATGAGCTATGTCTCAGCCATAATATATGTACGTCCCCTCGCTATTCTACAAAGCATGCAATAAAACCATTTACCGCCCTGCAATTCATAGAAAACCTACCAGAACTAACAACCCTAGTCTCCACTCCATCAGACCCAATGGAGCTAGATGTACTAACCGACTATTTAGAAAATACCTTTCGATCTACTTTAGAAAATGTGGCGCCACTTAAAATCAAAAGGATAAGACAGAAAAAGCTCACCCCATGGTACGATGATAAAACCCGTACCTTAAAACAAACAGTACGGAAACTAGAGCGGAAATGGTGATCAACCAAGCTGGAAGTGTTCCACTTGGCCTGGAAGGAAAGCCTTAGAAATGCTCTCAATAAGCCTCGCTCAGCATATCTGGCCTCGCTGATTGCAGTTATTAAGCCTCTGATCAAGAAACCAAACCTTATTGTCTAATTACAGGCCTATTTCTAACCTACCATTTATATCTAAGATCTTAGAAAAAGCTGTAGCCCAACAACTTAGTTCATATCTACATAAGAACCACATATATGAAAAATTCCAGTCTGGATTCAGGCCACATCACAGCACTGAGACAGCTCTAGTTAAGATAACAAATGATCTTCTTCTTGCCTCTGATCAAGGCTACGTATCCCTGTTGGTACTACTTGACCTCAGCGCAGCTTTCAATACGATAGACCACAATATTCTCCTAGAAAGATTAGAAAACATGGTTGGAATCACAGGGACAGCCCTATCGTGGTTCAAATCTTACTTAACAGAACGTTATCAGTTCGTAAAGGTAAATGACTTATCTTCCAATTATTCACAAGTAAGATCTGGAATTCCGCAAGGCTCTATTTTAGGACCATTATTATTTACATTATACATGTTACTGTTAGGCACAGTTATAAGTAGCCATGGCATTAACTTTCACTGTTACACAGACGATACGCAATTATACATATCAGCCAAGCCTGATGACAAATACAGGTTAAAGAAAATAGAGGACTGTGTAAAAGATGTGAAAGGCTGGATGTTACGTAACTTCCTCCTTCTAAACAGTAACAAAACAGAGGTTCTCCTTCTGGGTCCAAAAGTGGCAAGAAATAAATTATCGGATTTAATTTTAAATCTCGCTGACTTTCCAGTTATACCTGGTTCAGCAGCAAAAAATCTTGGTGTCATACTTGATCCAGATTTATCATTCGATCAACACAGGCAGTATCACTAGGACAGCTTTTTTACATCTTCGCAACATCGCCAAAATAAGAAATGCCTTATCGCTGCATGATGCAGAAACATTAGTACATGCCTTTATTACTTCAAGGCTAGACTATTGTAATGCACTACTGTCAGGATGCACCAGCAGGAATTTAAGTAAACTTCAACTAGTTCAAAATGCTGCAGCCAGGGTTCTCACTAAAACTAGAAAATTTGATCATATCAGTCCAGTTCTATCATCACTCCACTGGCTGCCTGTTAAATTCCATATTGATTACAAAATTCTTTTATTGACGTATAAAGCCCTACGTGGGCTCCTGAGTACCTGCAAGACCTTATTTCCCATTATGAGCCACCACGATTACTCAGATCACAAAGTGCTGGCTTTTTAATAGTTCCCAAAATTCAGAAGGTTTCAGCTGGGGGAAGAGCCTTTTCTTATAAAGCCCCCAAACTCTGGAATGATCTTCCAGAAAATGTTCGGGACTCAGACTCAGTCGCGATCTTCAAATCTAGGCTGAAAACTCACTTGTTTAGTTTAGCTTTTGGTAGTTAATGTTCCCCCTTGGATAAAGGCAGCAGATCCAGGGGTCCATGGACACAGGGAATTATAGTAAACTGAGACGCTGGTGCTGTCGTCCCGTCGCTCGCACGCGATCACTCAGGTTTGTGGATGGTGGAGCGGAGGGATGCCAGATTGTTTCAGGGTGCTCCCGTGTCTGTGTGTCCTTTTGGTTCTCTCCATTTAGTTAAGCTGTTATAGTCAGATCTGCCGGAGTCGTTAGCTACACTCTGGAAATGTTCACATTCTCTGTTTTACATACACTCAAACAGAACAAAACTAATTCCATCTCCCTACCTTTTTCCGAGTAAACGACTGTCCACCTGCCAGACGGACACTGACGGATGATTGTCTGCGGAGCTCTCCTGCTATCCGCTTCAGACCAGTTGCCCACGCCCCAGTCGCTGCCACTTGCACAGCTACCGCCACTTGACTTGGACTAGCTGCCCACTCCCACTCTACACTGAAGTTTTCATGGACTCCTAACTACTACTACTACTACTACTATTACTACTATTAATATTAGTAGTATAATAATTTTGTAGGTAGTTTGACCAGAGGAGGATGGGTCCCCCCATGTGAGCCTTGGTTCCTCCCAAGGTTTCTTCCTCAGCTCTGAGGGAGTTTTTCCTTGCCACTGTCGCCCCTGGCTTGCTCACCTGGAGGATTTACATTTCATGATAAAACTTTGTTCTAAATGGATTTCTGTGAAGCTGCTTTGTGACAACATCAGTTGTAAAAAGCGCTATACAAATAAATTTGACTTGACTTGACTTGACTGTTTTATTTATGGACATACCTATAAATGTGTGCTTACCAACATTTTGATAAGGTAAGTTAGCTCAGTTTGTCAGAACACCCCCATAGCCCACCTTACTTTCGTGAAACTTAGCAACATCAAATTGATGTGCAGTAGCTTTAGCTTGCATGTAGCAATATTAGTATGAAGACTCTTTAGCGACCTCATTATTCAGAGGATCCAGTGATATTCAGGAGAAAAAATGTACACAGGACAGAACAGATCCGGTCCTGAACATTTATATCTAACACAAGGTGCAACAGAGGAGATTTTTCAAAAACCCCATTCATTCTGGCCATAGAGGAATCAAGCTTAGATCCCGAGTTCCTAATATGGGCATTACATGGACTACAGAACGACACATGAGTACAGTGGTCTGTAGACAGGCTGAGCAAGACAATTAAAGCTACAGTATCTCTGAAAAAGGGGTTCATTTGTTTTGTGGGTGAGTGAATGATACATTTTCATGTCTGATAAGACAATAAAAGCACAGATGAGGTAAAAATACCATCTAAAAGCAGCAAAAAGACTTTTATATAACAAGGAGGACAGAGCAGCACAGCTTAGTGATGAAATAGTTGAGATTACAGGAGGAATAATAACAGGGAAAGACTAGATAAACAAACAGAGCAGTATAAAATATTCTCACTCCCACTTTATATTAAGCATGTCTAAATTGTGTAGTTACACATGAACAACACGTGAAACAACAGTATAATTACTAGTGATGTAGTCACTGTTACAGATGGATTACAGCAGTGCTTCTGTAATTACACATGTATTAACTTCAGCTTTGCCTCATGTATTTACACAAGTGTATCCTGATAGTTGTAATAACATTCTTCCTCATGGAACTGCATATTTCTAATGTATTTTACTTTGTGGCAGCACTTATACAGCATCAGCAGATCTCCACTTAAGATGTAACATTGATATAATTAGTTAAATGTGTTGATTATATTTCCCCAAAGCACTGTCTGTATTAACACCCTGTGATTACACAGTATCTACATAATAATTACACAGGAAGTGTACACTAATTTTAAAATAAGACTTTTACATAGTAACTGTGAATAATTAATGATTAAGGACAGATTATGAAGCAGCTACTACTTTTCCCAGTGTATCATATGTCATATGTATGTTATATGTCATATAAAGTTAGCCTAAAGACGCTGCCTCAGTCATGATTTAACAGTACCTCAGAGATACAGATGAGAAATGTATTGAGTTTCTTCTGTTAAAGTCAATTCAAAATCAGTGTGAGAATTTGGAGCAGGATTAGTGTAAATTGTGGTTCCATAACGAGCACTCAGTCCAACACTGGTGACCATCTCTACTTTGGAATAGACTCTGTAAAAGCACACTAATCAGATGATCAGTGAACAGGCTGTAAAACACTCTTACCTGTGACCTCCTGTGGGTGGGGCTAGTCTCCTACCTGAGTGAGGAACTGTCTCTGATCTGGGAGCAGATGCTGGTTTAAGAGGAAAAGGGAGAGGCAGTAGGACAGAATACAGTAAAGATATTTGTGCTTCATTCAGTCCAACAGGCTCAGAGCTGTACTAGGATCAGCTGAAAGGGTCTATTCAGCACTGCTGTGACTAAAATATGTAGTTGAACCAGATTGTTGATTATCCACCTCAAGCAAAATCATGAGATAAACTGAACAGGACAAACTGGTTCAGAACAGAGCGAGAGAGACTCTGAGCAGGTCATCATTTTATGAAGAGAGTGGAATAAACCTTATTCAGAGGAAACACAGTGAGTATCTGACTCTGTACTGGAGTTTCTGAATCAGCACTATAGACACTGTTAGCTCAGAAAAACATCAGCAGTTAACATGAAATAGATCAGACTTGTAAAAGCTTTTAACAAAAGTGTTAGCAGGAAATAAACGAAGAATGTCATCTGTCTGTCTGTCTGTGATGAGACCAAACTGAAAAATGGAAAACTGAAATTTTAGTCAGTGGAGACAGACAGTAGAATAATAGAGCTCCTCAGTGTTTCTGCTAAACTGTGAGAAAATGGGTGTGTGATCATTATAAAATTTGAATCTTAATAAAATGCAGAGAGTTTGGACTTTAACAGCTAAAACAATGAAAGCAGCAGAGATTTGACTTCTGCAATAGTTGAACTATAGCCAATGCACTTACACTAGTAATAATGTGCTGTTAGAATAGCAACTAAAGTATTTTAATTAAATGTATTGTTTTCCCAAAACCGAAAGAAATAATAATAAAATGTAATGTACAAGGATAAACTACAATAATTCTAAAGTCAGTAATTAACAAAAGAGAAGGATAATTTACCTGAAAGATATGACCAACTGTGCAGCAGTACAGGATACATGGACACCTTCTGGGGCCAAATCTTAAATGGATTAGAAAACAAATAGAAGAATTTTTAATTTAATCCTGTAGTATACAGGAAGCCAGTGTAAGGGTGCCGAAATGAGAGTGATGTGGTCCCTTTTTCTATCTGCACAACCCAGATCTGTATGGAAGTCGATGATAGAGTGTATGAAATTAACTTTCATTTTCTTAATTTTCCCAATAGAAAAACTGCTTAAAATCCTCACAAATTTTAGGGGAGTCAGTAGTGAAGTGGGCTGGTGGTTTCAGAACAGAATTTATAGTACAAAACAATACTCTGGGTTTATTACAGTGCCTGGAAATAATGTTGGCAAAAAGCTTTCCCTAGCCATTCCAGCTGCATTCTGGAAGGCAGATAGACAGCCCTTTAAAATTTCATAGGATACCTGAAGTTCATCTTTCATCCATTTCCAGTCCGCTTTCCAACATTCTCTTCTAAGAACGTGAGTGATATCATTTAACCAGGGCTGGGGTTTAGCCCTAGCACACACAGGCACATTACACTCTAAAGGGGTCATCTTAAAATAGGCTTCAGAAAAGAGACTGGCAGTGTTTGAGTTGATGATATGATAACACTGATTCATAGTGCTAGTACCAGTGGCTTTCCCAGGCAATGACATATAAAAAATTACCTTTTATAATCAGTAAACCCAAAATCTTCAATTTCAAGGTTACTGATGGTAAAACCATAAGATACAGTACGATCAAGAATATGACCATGATTATGGGTGGGACTACTGATAGACTTTACTAAACTGAAAGAGTCCGGAAGATGCATAAATTCTCTGACCAAAGGTTTACCAGGGCAACAAACATATTAAATATTAAAATATCCCAAGATCTAGCTGTAGTGGCAGTAATCCATGCTAAAAAATTAGAACATTCATAAATAAAATGACTGTTATATTAAAGTGGTCTGTATATAAGTGCACACATAAGAGGCTCACTGCACTTTAATTTCAGTAGTTACACTTCAAAACTAGTGAAATGATCAATTTGAAGAGCTTTACATTTAAAGCAGTTAATAAAAACCATGGCCAATCTCCCTCCCCTTCCTGTAACTAGAGGACAGCTTAAAAAGTTATAGAACTCGGCTATGGATTGAGAGCTTCGATCCCAGCTGATAATAACTGATATATACTGACAGTGTGCCTTTAAACAAGACAATAAAGCCAAAACTGATCTTTTTCAGTGATCTGAACTAAGTAGGCATTAGAGTGCATTGTATTTGTTTAAGCCCCTATGGAGCAGTGTTTAGTTTAACCACTAGAGTTCACTTTTTATTAAGACTTTGAATGCAGCCTTTGTTTTAGCTGTAACAATGCAGTATTTACATTACTTATTTACAATAAGATCCAAGATGGCGCAGCAGACGGCGACACTGGTTGGGAGCTCCGTCGTGTTCTGTTTGTTTTTGTTTGTTTGTACTGTTGCATGTGAACCAGTCTCACTCACATACAGCACAGAAGACGTGCTGAACATCAGGCAGTCCATGCCACAAGGCATTTTTCCTGACTTTTCACTTTCCGACTGTTTTTTGGACATTTTGGTGAGCGGAGCAGCTGCTCTCTACAGCAGGCACAGACGCAGGCGGACACGCAGGCGCGGGAAGCGCGCTGGAGCGCTGGTTAAACTCCGACAGCGCGGACTTCGCACACCGCTCCCCAGCATTCATATGGCGAATCTTCGCTCCTTAGGGAACACAGTTGGACGAGCTTTCCCTTCTAAACAGAACAAACAAGGACTTCTCTCTCTCTGCTGTGCTGTGCTTCACTGAGTCTTGGTTCACTGAGTCGACCCCGAACAGCGCGCTCCAGGCTTTAACCTCTACAGAGCGGACCGCTCCGCGGAGCTCTCGGGCAAGAAGAAAGGCGGCGGAATCTGCTTTTACATCAACCAAGGCTGGTGTACAGATGTCACAGTGTTAGTGAAAACATGCAGCCCTAACCTGGAAACACTCTTCATAAACTGCAAACCATTTTATTGTCCGAGGGAGTTCACGTCTATTATACTCGCAGGAATCTATATTCCACCCCAGGTGTGCGTGCACGAGGCGCTGCGCGCTCTCGCAGATCAATTCACCAGCGCGGAGCTCAAACACACAGACTCTGTTTGTATCATTTTAGGGGACTTCAACAGAGTGCAACTCACCAGCGAACTGCCTAAATACAGACAGCACGTTACCTGCCCCACCAGGGAGAGTAATATTTTAGATCACTGCTACACTGTGTTAAAGGGGGCCTATTGCTCTGTTCCACAAATCAACCATCAACCGTCTGGAAGTGCCTGCAGAATATCACCAGCTACAAAAGAACACCCTCCCAGACAATAGGTGATCGTCAGCTGGCTGATGAGCTTAACACCTTTTACTGCAGGTTTGAAAAACCCAGCTCCACACACCCATTCAGCACAAATTCACACCCTCCTGTCATTCAGCCTGCCCTGAAGATCTGCGAGAAGGACGTGCACCGACTCTTCAGGAGACAAAAAGTGAGGAAAGCACCAGGTCCAGATGGTGTATCACCCTCCTGTCTGAGGGTCTGTGCTGACCAGCTCGCGCCAGTGTTTACAGCACTCTTTGACAAATCACTGGAGCTGTGTGTCGTACCATCCTGCTTCAAACGCTCCACCATAATTCCAGTCCCCAAGAAAGCAACCATCACTGGATTGAATGACTATAGACCCGTTGCTTTGACCTCTGTAGTCATGAAATCCTTTGAGAGACTGGTGCTCTCACATCTGAAGAACATCACAGATCCTCTGCTAGACCCCCTGCAGTTTGCATACCGAGCAAACAGGTCGGTGGACGACGCAGTGAACATGGGACTCCAACTTATTCTCCAACAGAAACACCCAGGAACGTATGCAAGAATTCTGTTCTTGGACTTCAGCTCAGCGTTTAATACTATCATCCCAGGACAGCTACACAACAAACTACTACAACTCAGCATGCCAACCCCCACCTGCCAGTGGATCACCAACTTCCTCACTGGCAGAGAGCAGCAGGTGAGGTTGGGAAAGTTCACCTCAAACACCCAGATCATCAGTACAGGCGCTCCACAGGGCTGTGTCCTCTCACCATTGCTCTTCTCACTGTACACGAATGACTGTACCTCCACGGACCCCTCATTCAAAATCCTGAAGTACGCGAATGACACCAAAGTCATTGGTCTCATCCGAGACGGTGACAAGTCTGCTTACAGACGAGTGGTTGATCAGGTGGTCCTTTGGAGCAGCCACAATAACCTGGTGCTGAACACAGCAAAAACAGTGGAGATGACAGTGGACTTCAGGAGGAGCCCTCCAGCCCTGTCAGCACTCACCATCCTGAACAGAACTGTGATGGCAGTGGAGTCCTGCAAGTTCCTGGGCACAACAATCACCAGGGACCTGAAGTGGGACAACAACATTGGATCCATCATCAAGAGAGCCCAGCAGAGGTTGTACTTCCTGCGTCAGCTGAGGAAGTTCAACCTGCCCCAGGAGCTGATGGTGCGGTTCTACACAGCCATCATAGAGTCTGTCATCACCACATCCATCACAGTGTGGGGCAGCTCAGCCACCAAGCATGACCTCCACAGACTGCAGCGCATCATCAGGTCTGCAGAGAGGACTATTGGAGTTAAGTTGCCCACACTGCTGGAACTGCATGCCTCCAGAACCAGGAAGCGTGCAGAGAAGATCTCCACAGACCCCTCTCACCCCGAACACCACCTGTTCCAGCTCCTTCCCTCAGGCCGGTGCTTCAGCCAGATGAGGATCAGGACATCCAGGCTACAAAAGAACTTCTTCCCCCAAGCCATCACTCTCTTAAACAGTTTAATCTTACACAAAAAACAATATTCCAGCTTCAAACTGCACTTTTATAATAATGGTATATAGTATCTGAGTCAACTCCATCCTCTGGAACTGCTGCCTCAACCAGTGTTTTATTCTAGCATCTTACTTACCTGCCTTATTACCCCACTTATCGGACTGTTACCTCACTGATCCCTTTCTCTGCTACTATACACCCCTTTAACTGCTGCTGCTCTCAGCACTTTAACTTTAGAACAATACTTGCACAATGTAAGGTTTACAGGTATGACTGTGTGTGAGTGTGTGTGTGTGTGTGTGTTGAGTGAGTGATGGTAGGAACGTATGTTTTATTTTATTTTTATTTTGTTATATTTATTTTGTTATATTTTATTTTATTCACTATGTGTAAATGTCTGTCTGGTACTGTGTAACCAAAACCAAATTCCTTGTATGTGTAAGCATACCTGGCCAATAAAGCTTGATTCTGATTCTGATTCTGATTAGTCACTAGAATGCAGTCTTTATTTTAGCCACTAGTGTGGTATTTATGTTAGCCTTTAGAGCATGGCGTTTATTTTAGTAATTAAGATGCTGTATTTATTTTAGTCAGTATAATTCAGTCTTTATTTTAGCCACTAGAGTGTGGTGTTCTTTTAGCCACTAGAGCACATTTTTATTTTAGCCACTACAGGGCAATATCTATTTTAGCTTCTAGAGTGCAGCATTTATTTTAGCCACTAGAGTGCACTATTTGTTTTAGCCAAATGAGCACAGTATTTACTTAAGCTCTAGAATGCAGTACTTACTTTAGTTACTAGAATGCAATGTTTATGCTAGCCACTAGACTACAGTTTTTATTTAAACCACTAGAGTGGGGAATTTTTTCCCTCCAATTTTCTCCACAGTAATTTAGTCGTTTCCAATACCACCCACTAGTTAGGCCTCCCCCAATCACACAATACCACCTAGGCTCTAGGAGGGTGAAGGCTAGCACAATCTTCCTCCGAGTCCTGTGAAGCTCCAACACATCTTTGGACAGTTGAATGCGCTCGAAGGAGAATGTTAACCACCTGTTCTGTTACATTAACTAACAGATACCTGCACTATCTATCATCATGCTGTGTGATGGGGGTGTTGAGGGCATTCTACCCACCCAGAGAGCAAAGCCAATTGTGCTCTCTTGGACTCCCAGACACAGATGGCTGTAGCACCACCAGGGACCGAACTCACAATCTCATGATAATAGGCCCAACACCTAGACAGTTGCACCATTGGGCAGCCTTGGGAATTTATTTTACCTACTAGATTTAGGAATTTATGTGAAACACTAGAGACCAATATTTCATTTAGCCACTAGAGGGTGGTCTTTATTTAAGCCCCCAGATTGTAGTCTTTAATTAACCTGTAAGAGCTCAGTATTAACTTCAGTCAGGAGAGTGCAGTATTTATTTTAGTCAGAAGAATACAATCTTTATTTTAAACAATAGAGTGCAGTATTTACTTTAGCTACTAGATGGCAATATTTGATTTAGGTAGTAAAGTACAGTATTTATTATAGTAACTGGAGTACAGTTTTTATTTACCACACTTTTTATTTTCCACACACTACACATATACTACACACACACAAAGATATGCACTTTACACTTAACACATTACAGATTACATGCACTCACACATTAAACACAATGTTCTTGTAATGTAAATCAATGGAACTAGACTTTTTTCCAAGTCATTTTGGGCCGTTTCTTTTGGTCCATTCATCATGAAACTTACACTCAATGGAAAGAGCAACAGGTATTTTCAAACTCTGTCTAAAACTGAAACACAACAAAAATGGAGATACAAGCTTTTATACTCTCACATATTACACACAAACATAGCAGTCTCTCTTACCTCTCTCTCTTTCTCTCTACCCATTTTTTCTTCTCTTTCCTGGTTTTCTCTCTCTCTCTCTCTCTCTCTCTTGCAGTGAAACTCAGCAGTTCTGTTTAGTGAAGAGAGGAGCATAAAGAACTTTAGGAGAGAAACCTGGTGATTCTTGGTGAACTCTGACCTTTTAGTGATGAGAGGATTAAAAACAGTTACTGTAATTAAAAAAAATCACTGAAGTACAACAATATTGTCACTGTCCAAAGAAAAAACATTTATCTCCATCTTATGCAATATTTACTTTTCTACATCATTTAAGCAAGGCAGCTGTTCATTGCATTGGATGAAAATTTATGACTGATCTATGAACCAATGAAAATGTTCTAAAATTGCTTTGAATAAAATCTCTTTATATTAACTTACACTGAAAGTAAAGAATGTTGTTGCCTTCTCCTGTGAAGTTACTGTTTTTGAGATGTTTTTATTTGGACATTGACAATACACTTTCTGTATTGATGAAAAGAGATTTTTCAGTTAGAAGATGGGAACTTCCAGGTCGACTCACACCAGTCCTGCTCAGACCAGCATGACAGCTCAGACAGGAGGAAACGTCTGTGCTCCTGTTCTCCATGGAAACAATATTCAAGGCTCAGTGAATGTAACCATTATTCAGGGAGGTGAGTGATGTAGTGTAAGAAACTGTGTGTAAAGGAATGGATCTGTTTGTCTGGCTGAGAGTTTTAGGTTATATATAATATAACCTGACAGAACCACTCAGACGCTCACGGTTAAAAAGAACATAAAAGGCTTTACTGTTTGATTTGTCAATCATAATCATTGTCAGGAAACAGGCACAGGTCAAATCCAGAAAGGGCAGCAAGTAAAGACACACAAACATAACAACAGGCAAAAACAATCGAAAAGGGGTCAAAATACAGAAGATCAGTCAAAACCAAAAAGCACAGGAAACAAGCAATACCTCACACTGACGGTTCTAAAAGCCAGGGCTTTATACTAAAGCTAATGAGTGGTCAACAGGTGTTGCAGATTAGTATTCAGGAGAGCGAGATCTGTGATTGGAGTGTGCTGGAGTCAGGTGATCTCCCAGAGGATTCTGGGAGATGGAGTCCATGGAAACCTCTGAGCCATAGGGATGCTTGACTATAAGCTGTATATGCACTGATGTGATAAATTATTTATACATCAGTGTGTCTATGTTATTATTTTAGAGGTGGTATACAGAAATACAGTTCACTGATTGCGATTAGTTTTAAGCAGCTTTAATAAAGTGCTGATATTTCCAGTTATCTCTCCTCCAGGTCAGGAAGTTTCTAGTTCCAGCACCAGTACAGTTCAGGCTGGAGGTTCTCCTGGTGCTCCTGCTCTCACTGAAGGTAACGTCTTAATGTACACATCACTAATTACTCACTACTTATTCATGTACAAGTTCTGCAAATAGGCTTGTTTTCTGTCATGTTAAACATAAACAATATTAACAGGGAATATGTGTCATTGACAAGCCTAACATAGATTTTAAAAATAGAAAATGCATAATAAATATCATTACAGTGGTGGTAATCAAGAATCCCATGTTCTCTCTGATTTCACAGCTGAAACCAATGTTTTTTTTCCCCCAAACATTGAAGTCCAATGTACATTAGAGGAAACAGACATATGCACATATTTCCAGATCCACCAGTTTCTAATTGATAAACTTAAGAGAATTAATGAAAGAGATTCCACCTTTATGAATGAGCTCTATACAGAACTCTACTTGAAACATTTGCAAAGATAAAAAAAAAGAAATGTATTGTCTGTGTTTATTTCTCAGGTTTGGTCACTGTATATAAACAAAAACTAGAGAAGAAATTTCAGAGAATTAATGAAGGAATCTCACAGCATGGAAGATCAACCCTTCTGAATGAGATCTACACAGAGCTCTACATCACAGCGGGAGGGAGTGGAGAGGTCAATGATGAACATGAGGTCAGACAGATTGAGACAGCATCCAGGAGACCAGCAACACAGGAGAAACCCATCAAATGCAATGACCTATTTAAAGACAAACCCATCAGAACTGTTCTGACTAAAGGAGTTGCTGGAATTGGAAAAACAGTCTCTGTGCAGAAGTTCATTCTGGACTGGGCTGAAGGAAAAGCAAATCAGGACGTCCATTTTATATTTCCACTTCCTTTTAGGGAACTGAATCTGATCAAGAAAAAGTTCAGTCTGATGGAGCTTCTTCATCACTTTTTCCCATATATAAAAAAACTAAGATCAATAGACTGTGATGCTTACAAAGTCATGTTCATCTTTGATGGTCTGGATGAGTGTCGACTTCCTCTAGATTCCCAGAACAATGAGAGCTTGTGGGATGTAACAGATTCAGCCTCAGTGGATGTGCTGCTGACAAACCTCATCAAGGGGAATCTGCTTCCCTCTGCTCTCCTTTGGATAACTACTCGCCCAGCAGCAGCCAATCAGATCCCTTCTGAGAGTGTTAACCTGGTAACAGAGGTACGAGGGTTCAGTGACCCTCAGAAAGAGGAGTACTTCAGGAAGAGAATCAGTGACCAGAGCCTGGCCAATAAAATCATCTCACACATGAAGTCCTCAAGAAGCCTCTACATCATGTGCCACATCCCAGTCTTCTGTTGGATTGCAGCCACTGTTCTAGAGAGGGTGTTGGGTGGAGCAGAGAGTGAAGAGATCCCCAAGACTCTGACTCAAATGTTCACCCACTTCCTGATCTTTCAGATCAAACACAAGAATAAAAAGTACCATGGGAAATGTGACACTGATCCTCAGCAGACTAGAAAGATGATTCTGGCACTGGGAAAACTGGCTTTCCAACAGCTGGAAAAGGGCAATCTGATCTTCTATGAGGAGGACCTGAGACAGTGTGGCATTGATGTCAGAGAAGTGTCAGTGTACTCAGGAGTTTGTACTCAGATCTTCAGAGAGGAGTTTGGGCTGCACCTGGGGAAGGTGTTCAGCTTCGTACACCTGAGTGTCCAGGAGTTTCTGGCTGCTTTATATGCATTTCTGTCCTTCATCAGCAGAGATGGAACAAAACAGCTGACCACTGATCTCTCTGGTATTTTCAGAGAGGCCAAAATGTCAGACTTTCTCAAGTCTGCAGTGGACAAGGCCTTACAGAGTGAGAATGGACACCTGGACCTTTTCCTCCGCTTCCTTCTGGGCCTCTCACTGGAGTCCAATCAGACTCTCTTACAAGGCCTACTGACACAGACAGGAAGCAGCTCTCACAGCAAAGAGGAAACAGTTCAGTACATCAAGGAGAAGATCAGGGAGAATCCCTCTCCAGAGAAATCCATCAATCTGTTCCACTGTCTGAATGAACTGAATGATCATTCTCTACTGCAGGAAGTTCAGACTTACCTGAGTAGAAAAGACTACAAATGTCTTGATGGACTCAAACTCTCTCCTGCCCAGTGGTCAGCTCTGGTGTTTGTGTTGTTAAACTCAGAAGAGGAGCTGAATGTGTTTAACCTGCATAAATATGACAGATCAGAGGAATGTTTTCTGAATCTGCTGCCAGTGATCAAAGCATCCAGAAGAGCTATGTGAGTATTTCAGTCATAAATGTGTTACTGCACTGTTTATTAATTTAATGTAAGACTGGATGATTTTATAGGTTAGTGTGTCTGTGTCTGTGTGTGTGTGTGTGTGTGTGTGTGTGTGTCTGTGTCTGTGTTTGTGTGTGTGTCATAGATAACGTTAGTTGTGGTTCTTCACAGTCACATCATTATTAAATATAAATTCTCTGACACAAAGTCAATAATAATAACCGCTGTGAATAAATGAAACACAGTAGACAGTCAGACTATTTACAAGGTAAACAAGATAAACAGCTATTTGCAGAGAGAGAGAGACGGAGAACAGAGAGAGAAAGAACACAATCAATCAATCATTAAACCTTTATTTAACCTTGGAGAACATTGAGGGTGACCCTCATTTACAGTGTGGCCTAGTCAATATAGAGAAAAGGAATTGATAATCTGTAAGAACATATCAAATAATAAAAAAGTAAATTTAATAATAAAACACTCACATCAGGTAAGTATAAAGAAACACTAATAATAATAAAAGCACATCCAAAGTAGAAGAAATAACACAAAAAGTTAGAAGTTATCAAAATTAAAAGAAGACAAATAAAACAAAAGGAGAAGTCTAGGCTATATTCATTTTAATCCTCTTAAGTTTGAGAACTTCTGTATGGAAATTAAGACTGTAATACAAGTATCTCCATTTCATTGTCTCAAATAAACAACAAGAAATGAGACTTTTAAAAATAAAGCTGATGCTGCTTTTCTAAGGCTGAGCTATTTTTGACTATGAACAAATACTTGGAACACACATCACAATAGTAAAAGCTTAGTACAAAGAACCTCGTTGATTTCATCGGCACCACCATTTCAGAACAAGCCAAAAAGGTAGCTAAGCTATAGGTTAATATAGAAGGTAAACGCTGCTTTCACAGATGCACAAAACGACTAAAAGAAACTACTTTTAAACCATTTACATTGTGTTGAAAGTACATACTTTGGATTTTCAGAAGAACAACTAAATGCAGAAAATATACACAAAAAAAGTTTGGATCTGCTCCTGAACAGAGTAGAACAGATCTTTTGTTAAGCTCAGTTAGCATCCGCATTTTCCATGTTACAACTTCACCAAAACACACTTAATATAAACTATAAAATGACCCACTGCTCTATGAACGTTGTAATGTTAAACTACTTATAATGTATAAAAGAGCGTTTCATACCTCTAGAATGATAAGGAAATCAACACAAAAGTGAAGTATCGTGAGCCTGAGGTGCAAGGTTTATTCTAAACCTTTTCCCCGACCCAAGGTTTCCCCGTCGACTCAGCATAAGAGCGCCCTCTACTGGGTGAATTAAATATACCCCTTTAGACTTGAAATTCTGAATGATTTGACACTCTCAGCAAAAAATAAACAACATTGTACTGTAAACAAAATTCAATAAAATCAAGTCAAATAAATGACTAACAAAAAAGAATATGTGAAGGTCTCTATTTTACTGAAACCAATAACACTTTATTTTTTCAGTCCTCTACACATACAGTAGATGGGTAAACAGGATTTATTTCTATATAGATAACAAAGCTTCTGTCCATATTTACCGATCAATTTATTAATATGGGATTTAAAAATGAGTTTATCATCCAGCTATATGCCACAGTATTTATACTCTGTATAACTCTTTCAATGTTGGATCCTGTCAGGGTAGTGATATTTACAGAATCAAAATCAGTATTAGTAGATCTGGAAAATAGGATGAACTTAGTTTTCTAGCATATAAAACCAGGTTGTGTTTACACAAAGCAACCGTCTGCATTGTAGTTTCCTTATCGCAGCACAAACAGAGTCAGCTGAACAGTATAAAACCATGTAATCTGCATACAGGTGTACTTTGCAGTCTGAGGCAGAGGCAGCAAGTTCATTAACTTATATATTGAACAAGACTGGGTCCAAAATTGAACCTCATGGTACTCCCTTTCATATGGTCAAAAAATCTGACTTGTAATTACACAGTGCTGCACATTGTTGTCTGTCTGAAAGGTAGATTGGTAAAATCATTCTTTTCTAAGTTTCTTAAAAGAAGAGTGTGATCAACTGTATCAAAAGTCTCTAATAAATCAATAAAAATGGCAGCACAATGCTTCTTCCTGTCTATGGCCATATAGATATCATTTAAAGCCAGTGTGGTAGCAGAGATGGTGCTGTGTCTTTCTCTAAAGCCAAACTGATAATCAAACAGGATAGAATTGTTGTATAGAAATGATTTAAGTTGACCATTTACTAGAAATTAAGATTTTAGCCAAACAGGACAATTGGTCTGTAGTTATTTATATCTGCTCCCTCACCTCTTCCCAGATACTGGGAATTCTGTATGATAAAACAGAGAGATGAAGTGTTATATAGTAATAATAGTAAGAGATTTAGCTAGTATGCTTGTAGAGAAGGGCTGGAGTGCAAATAGAGCATGGCAGTAGAGGTGATAACAGTTTGACCTACCAGAATAATTTGAGCAGAATGTGTGTCAAAAACTGATCAGTTCCTTCTTTTATTGGAGCCAGGTGTGAAGGTATAAAATGCAGCTAAAACATCTTGAACCTCTTTCCACTCACGGAATTGGTACAGAGTGAAAAACAGAATTAGCACAGTCTTGTATAAAAGCAGGCTTGTGAAATCCTTTTCAGCAGTTCTGTTTTCTGAATTTTTAAATAATTACATCCCAAATGTATTACTATCTTCTTCACTGAGTCATATTTCTTCAGAAGACATGGGAGCTGCTTTGTAATGCACCAGATTTTTGCACCAGAGATGGTGTGAATTACGGCTGTATGGTGCTTAACCTTTCTGATGATTGAGTCACCTACTATGAGAGTGGATGGAGGAGGGTTGTGGGTTAGTCAAGGCTCAGGTGGGGTAAGAATATGGGTTCATGGCTCAGTAAACAGTGGTGGCAGGAGACAAGAGGTCAGTGCAGTAGAATCTTGGGGCAGGGAACAGCAGTCAGGCTGTCCATGTAGGAGCTGTGAGGGGGCTCGGCAGGGCGGCCATGTGGAGGTGGAGGTGGAGATGGCCAGGGGAGGTGGGCAGCAGTTTGGCTGCCCAGCCATGTCCAGGTGAGAGGTGGAGAGGCGGACCCACTGCACAGTGGTGTTCCGGGATAAAGCAGGGGGAAATTTGTGACTGAAGAGCTCACTCAGATGTTCTGCACTGATGACTGTTTGTCAGCAGAAATAGTGTCTTCCAGCTCCTCCAAGGTGGACCTTTTGTGGAATCGGGTGGCAGGCAGAGTGCCTGCGACCATGCAAACCCTCACTTGCAATGGACCATGGCTCAGCCTGGTGTGGCGTGGAGCAGCACATCTCCCTTGCCTTGGGTTTAGCTCCTAGCCAAGGCCAGTTATCCTCATCTTGGACAGCCATAGCAGCCGCTCGGGGAAGACTGCCATCTAGCCCGGTGCTGATTGAACAACCAGCAGGGAGTCGAGGAGAGCACAGAAAGTCTTCCTTCAAGCTCACAAATCTTCTGGCTCAGTCACGCACAGCCATTACATCCAGCTGAAGAGCTAAGGGGAGGCATGGCCCAAAAACAATTCAAAGGTTAAAATAAAATAAAATAAGCAGACCATAGTTTATGGTAGTCTGGGGAGGAGTTCCGATGGATAAGAATTTAGCACATAAAACAAGGCTGGGTTGCCCAGTTGGGCTAAAAACAGGCTAAAAACAAAACAGCTTAGCAGGAGTGCAAGGCACTCTGCTCTGACACTGTAAATTATTTGCCTGTTTTCCATTTGAATTTATTTTAATACTTTACATCAAACAGAATGTGTCACACTGCATTATAAAAAGTATAACTGACATCAGATGCATATTCTCTCTCAGTTCTCCTTATGATAAACTTTATGAAATGTAATTGTGTTACAGGTATTTGTGTAAAAATTGGTGTGTCTCTAAGTGTTTATTCATGAGTGTGTTTGATTTTGTTTGTGACTGCATGATTATGCATATGAGTGTGTGTGAATGAGTGTGATATTCTGTATGTATTTGAGTACTTGATAGTGTTTTTTGTGTATATCTGGTAGTGTGTTAGTGCATGTGTGCGTGTGTTTGAGGCTTTGTGTGATTGTCTGTGATGCTGTGTATATAATTGTGTGATTATGTGTGTGTTTGTATGTGAATGTGATTGTGTGAGTATATGTGTATGATCATGTGTGTGTGAATGTGTGTGTGTGTGTTTGCACAAGTGTGAAAGCTTGATAGTTTGTATGTGTGTTAGTGTATGATTGTGTGTGTTTGTGTGTATGAGTGTGAATGCTTGATAGTGTGTGTGTGTCTGTGTGATGTCATTCTTCTGATGTGTTGATGTGTCATTTCTCTCCAAGGCTGCGCTGCTGTGATCTCACAGAGAAAAGCTGTGCAGCTCTGTCTTCAGCTCTCAGCTCAAACTCCACCACTCTGAGAGACCTGAACTTGAGTGACAATCAACTGCAGGATTCAGGAGTGGAGCTGCTCTCTGCTGGACTGAAGAATCAACACTGTAAACTGGAGATACTTAAGTAAGATCATCACTGTATCACTGTGTATGTCTGTGTATGAATATGTTTGTGGTGTGTAGGTCACTCACATCCAAACATTCACAGAAAAAACTCAGCAACATCTTTAAACAGAGAGTGAAAAGTTGAAGCAGAGCGAAAGAACTGAGACAGAGAACTCAATGAAGTACTGAAAGAGAGAACAGTGTCGCTGTATGTAATTGTTACATATTTTTGTGTAAAAAATGTGTGTTTATGAATGTGTTTGATTTATTGTGTGATTCTTTGTGTAATTGTGTGTGACAGAGTATGTGTGAATGAGTGTGTGCATTTGTGTGAGATAGTGTGTTTGGGTGTGGGCATGTGTGTGAATGCTTGATAGTGTGTGTTAGTGTGTGACAGTGCATGTGTTGGAATGTGTTTAAGTCTATGTGTGTGGTTGTGTGTGTGTGTGAATGTGCGTAAGTGTGTGTGTGAGTGTGAATGATAGTGTGTGTGGTGTGTGTGTGTAGGAGAGAGTATATGCATGACTGAAAGTGTGTGCATGTGTGTGTGTGTGTATGTGTGATGTCAATGTTCTGACATATCATTTCTCTCCCAGACTTAGGTTCTGTAATCTTACAGAGAAAACCTGTGCAGCTCTGTCCTCAGCTCTCAGCTCAAACTCCTCCAGTCTGAGAGAACTGGACCTGAGTGACAATCAACTGCTGCAGGATTCAGGAGTGGAGCTGCTCTCTGTTGGACTGAAGAATCCACACTGTAAACTGGAGATACTGAGGTGAGATCTTCACTTTAACCTAAATACCACTATCCACTAGCCGATTGACCAAAGGCTCATCTTGTAAAAAGTTGAGCACATCTTTGTCCATTCATGAAGCGGAATATATTTGTTAATAAACAACTGTTTGATCCACCACTAAAAGCACATCTTCTACTGTAGCTTCAATGGCTGGGATGCATCTAATGCAAGGGGCAGAGAGGCTGCTATGGCCCTCTCACCACACAGAGGCAACACTCGATACAGTGAATACCAACAGTCAGAGAATAAATTTAAAGGGGATTATGAATAAGAAAGGAAAAATGTGAAAACTCTCCAGTCATCACACCACAGCTCCCTCACACAGCTGAACTCCCAGCATACAACAGAGAGATAGATAGATAAATAGAGAGAGAGAGCAAAATGAAATATAGAGACAGAGAGAGCACACAATGAAATGCAGAGAGAAAGAGAACACAGTGCAATAGAGAGAAAGAATACAATGAAATAGAGAGAGAGAACATAATGAAATACAGAGAGAGAGAGAGAAAGAAAACACAATGAAATACAGAGAAAACTGAGAGAGGGAGACCACAATGAAACTGAGAAAGAACTGAGAGATAACAGTGTGTGTCTATATATGTAATTATATGTGCTACATGTTTTGTGGGTATTTATTTGTGTGTCATTATGTGCTTGCTTGTGCATGTTTGTGGGTGTGAGTTTAAATGCTTGATAGTTTATGTGTGTTTTTGTGTATCTGTGTGTGAATGTGTGTATCAAATTCTGTGGTGTGCATGATTATGTGTGTGTGTGTGTGGGTGAGTTTGTGTGATTTCCATCTTCTAATGTATCATAATTTCTCTCCCAGGCTGTATAACTGTAATATCACAGAGAAAAGCTGTGCAGCTCTGTCCTCAGCTCTCAGCTCAAACTCTTCAAGTCTGACAGAATTGAACCTCAGTAACAATAAACTGCAGGATTCAGGAGTGGAGCTGCTCTCTGCTGGACTGAAGTATCCACACTGTAAACTAGAGATACTGAGGTGAGATTATTTCTGTATAATTGTGTGTGATCTAAACAAAGAGAGGAGAGAGAGAGGAAGAAAGAAAACAATGTGAGTAGAAAGAGAAAGAGAGGCAACATGCACAGATTAACTGAGAGAGCAAGCCAAAAAATGTAAAGAGAGAAAGCAGAGAGACAAAGACAGACAGAATAGAGAGAGACAGATACAAAGAGAGAGAACAAAGACAGACAGAAAAAGAGATAGACAGGCACAGAGAAAGCAAGCCAGAAAAACAGAGAGACACAGAGACAGAGATGCAGCTAGAATTTTTTGTCCTAAAAATGTTTTGAGAATATTACCATGCAAAGTTCCATTAATGTTTCCAGCTTTTTTGATTGTCTTTTTGTTCCTAGAATATTCTTTTTAAAGGTATGATAAAGTTTTTTATAAACATTCTAAGAATGTTTAGTGATAATGCTCTTACAACATTATGCCCAAACATTGTTTTAGTGCAAAGTTTTTAATGCTCTCAGAATGTTATTATTTTTAAAACCATTCTGAAAGTCTTTTGTGGTAACATGCTGAAATGGTGCTGCTGCTGGACTTTCATTGTGCTCAGTCATGGATGGTCCACCTCCATTATGCACCCGCATTATGATAAAATATTAATTAAAATCGGAATAGTTTTAATTTACCAGAAATCTTTTTTAAGCTGTGGCCAACAGCAAAAAGTCACTGTTGGTCGGTGCTGCACTCTGTCTATTGGTCTCTAATCTGAAGGGTGTATTACCTATTTATGTCTCTACACTGTAAAAAATATTTCACTGCTCCTACTTAAAAATATTTGTAACTGTGCTGATTTTTTTATTTTTTTTTATTTTGAGTTTTAATAACATAAGATTGCCAGATAACCAAACTAATCAAAAAACAATTTGGTTCAAAAAACTTTATCATGTTAACTATCCTCTTATAATATTTACTAGGTATGAGTTTTTAACCTGTTCCTCTTGCTGTTCATTATGCGAAAGTGACTGCAAATATTTAGCTGAAACAGATCGTCATTAATTTACTCAACTTACACCATTATAAAGCTCAAGATGAATTCTATGAGTTCAGACCATGATTTCAACATGTGGTGGTAATATGAGAGAAGACTGTGTGTGTGTGTGAGATGTCATTGTTCTGATGTGTCATAATTTCTCTCCCAGGCTGTGTTGGTGTAATCTCACACAAAAAAGCTGTGCAGCTCTGTCTTCAGCTCTCAGCTCAAACTCCTCCACTCTGAGAGAACTGGACCTCAGTAACAACAAACTGCAGGATTCAGGAGTGGAGCTGCTCTCTGCTGGACTGAAGAATCCACACTGTAAACTGGAGATACTGAGGTGAAATCTTCATTTTATCAGTGAGTGTGAGTGATCTATACAAACACACTCACAAACTTTCATTGAAAAAAACTGCAAACACTAAACTTTATCTTTAAATAGAGAGAGGAAGAAAAAGAAAGATGGAATGCGAGACGGTAAATTGAGGGACAGCAACCACAGAGAAACAAGACAGAAAATAAATGTAAAGAGAGAGAGCTGAGACAAATACAGGCAGAATAGAGAAAAACAGATACAGAGAGAGAGAACAAAAAAGACAAAGAGAAAGAGGCAGCACAGAGAGCAAAAGAGAAAGACAGAGACACAAAGAGGCAAAAAGGAGAACAGAGAGAGACAAAGAACAGAGAGACCTGAGAAAACAGAGATATCTTAGAGAGACAAACAGATAAAAACACACACACACTTTCATATCTCTGTATGATTTAATGACTCACAGTTTTATCAACCAGATTAGACACACAGACCATAATAATCAGTAGGACTCCCCTGTTCTATATACAGAGCTGAAAAACTCATATTTAAAACAATTTGGTTCAGTTTAATCTTCATTGTTACTTTAAAGCATTTTAATACATTATCACTGCTTTCACTCATTTTTCATATATTTTATCAAATCATTGAACACAGATCTCAAAGAAAAACACAGCCTGTTCGGAAAGTTGTGTAAAACAAAGGGAAACATTTGGAAACAGCAGAAAGAAAATATTCTCACAGTCATATTTACTTTCAGCTCTGGTTATAAATACACAGTGCACAACTGTTAACTCAGCAGACAGTCATCATCGGTTTTGACTGTACACATTGATAAAGGAGACTGTGGACACGTTTTTTTATCACAGGAATAATAAAGATATAAAACTGATTTATGAAAATCCAAGAAAAAAGAACTCAAAACAGAGGAATAGATTACCTGCTGTAATAATCTTACACATTCTATAACTAAAGTATTTTCAAATTATTAAGCACAGAAATACAGCAGCAATTAAGACTGAAAAAGTTTAAACAGAAACCTGTTTTTTGTGGTTTTGTTGTTTATTGAGAGACTGAAGTGTTTTACTCACCTGAGTGTAAGCTGTAATGTTTGATAGAAAAGTTTCTTTTGTGGTGTTTATTCAGTGTTTTGTGGAAGTTTGATGGTTTTGTAAAAAGTATTATTTTGTTCAGCAAGCCTCTGTTCAGTGTTGTGTGTTTACTATTTTAAATATATGATTTCTGAATAAACAATAACATTTAACTAATCGGGAAAAACTGTAACTGTTTGTTTTTCTACGAAGATAAAAAAAATATAGTTTTGTTTTGGTCTGGAACTGTAGCTGTTTATCCCTGACAGTTTAACAATGTATTTAGATGACCATGAAAGAGAGAGAGAGAGAGAGAGAGAGAGAGAGAGAGAGAGAGAGAGAGAGAGTTTCTCTGTTTCTCTGGGTAAATATGTGTGTGAATGTGTATGTGTGTGTGTATTTGAGTGCATGAGTGTGTGTGTGTGTGTGTGTGTGTGTGTGTGTTTGTGTGTGCTGGTCTGTAAGTTTCTCCTTCTCTCTGCAGGCTGGACAGCTGCAGTATTGCTGATGAAGGCTGTGCTGCTCTTGCTTCAGCTCTAAAATCAAACCCCTCCTCTCACCTGAGAGAGCTTAACTTCACCTACAAAAAACCAGGAGGATCAGGAGTGAAGGAACTCTCTGATCTACTGGAGGATCCACTCTGTAAACTGGAGACACTACAGTGAGTTACTGACTTACTGTCTCTACACACACACACACACACACACACACACACACACACACACACACAAATTCACTTATACACTCCCACAAACACAGAAACACACCATTATTCACACACACACACACTCAATCACAAACACATACACACACACAAAACACATACACTCGTTCACGCACTCACAAACACTCAGAAACAGTGTATGCTGTGTGTGAAGAACCTAGAAGTGTGTATGAGTGAATAAATATGTGTAGTTTAGATTGTGTGTTTGTGTTGTTTAGAAAAATGTTTTATTTCAAATATGAATTAATTAAAGAATGAACATGCTCCAATTAATTAGTCTGTTATATAAATAAACTCTTATGAAACCAGTTAATTTGCAGTGGAATATGATTATTAGTGTTGTGAAACTATATATACATATATATATATATATATATATATATATATGTGTATATATATATATATATATATATATATGTGTATATATATATATATATATATATATATATGTATGTATATATATATATATATATATATATGTATATATATATATACATATATAGTTTCAGCTCAGTTTCTTTAAGAAGGTAAACTCTATATTTCAGATGAAGTTTAGACTCTGATGGATCAAACCTTAAATATTCATCACTAAAACTCTAACTGGAGCAGCTTTGATGTTTTTCATTCTTTAGTGAGTTAAATTTTACATTGTGTTTGATTTTCTTCATGAAGTCCATGACAGGACTGGACAGGTTCTAGGTGTGCTGGCGTTGAATGACCTATCAGTCTGAGTCCATGTCCAATGATTCTGTCTTTTTCTCTGTCTTACAGTATCTGAACACCATCCAGCTGATCTGCTGTCACACACAGAGGATTATGAGGAGAGGATGTCTTAGTACAAACACACACTCAGTATAAGGTTCTACATGGTACTATGTGTGTGTGTTTGGGTTCGTATTCATCAAATCTTTGAACATGGCTGCAGCACAGGACTGTGTGATCTCACCATAACATCACTTCCTGTACTCCAATGACTGCACCTTCAGCAAACCACCAATCAAACTGGATGTCATGGCAACAACATGGGAGAAATCAAAAAAAGAAAGATAGAGAAGATGTAACAGACGGAGAAGTTAAGATTTTTTATTTTTGTTTTGTGTCTCAGTTTTTTGTCTTTGTTCAGTTCATTTTTATTATCTTCACTCACACAGTAATCTGACAGACAGTCTGATGGAGGTGTTGTTAATTATTAGACTCACTGCATTTGCACGTTAAACAGTCTAACCAAGCTGGCTGCATTTGTTTTTAAGTTCCGTCACTTCATTTTGGAGGTTTTAATTGGCCAATGATAGGTCATTGTTAAATCTGCTGTAGTAGTTTAAGAATTATGGACAGAAATAAGACAGCACTGAAGTTTGCTTCAGAGGCCTTTGGCAAACTGTGGCCTGACGTCATCCTCACAAAGGGCTGACCGAGTCACCTGGTCTCCTCCCTTGACCAGCTAGGTCCAGTTAGATGCGACACTCTCAGAGTTCACCTCTCAGATAGCATTGCCCCAACCAGGGATCATCCAGTACACGCATACACAGCCCCGCAGCTCTTACCCTCTACAAATAAGCAGTAAGGCACCATCACTTCGGTATATGGTTCCGTCTCCACACTGTGTTATTGTGTCACCCTTTTAATTTAAACCTAGATCAGTCTTTACTTTAGCATTTCCATTCCATTCTGTGTGCTGCTCAAACCCCATAACATAACTATCTCTGAGTTTCAGCTGACTACAGTACACTGTAAAAAAAAAGATATCGTAAAAAAATGGTCAAATGACTGGCAGCAGCGACTGCCAAACAATCCTTTATAAAGCACTTCTATCATGTCCTGGCATGTTAACCTTGTCTGAGTCCCTCTGAAAACCCACAGAACATCATTAAGCTACATATTTATGGCTCTAGACATCAGTTTTCTTCCAAGATATCAGAAATCAGAGTCTAACCAAATCAGTAAATCAAAGACTCCTCCTGGTTATATCTAATCATGGCAATTAATAAAGCTGATTAAGTGCTGAATCATTAGATTGGAATCGTAACATATTTTTGTCAGTTCTAAAGTTTGTACAGCACCACCTTCATGAAACTTTTGCTTTCACTTTATTGCACAGATTTAGTGAAAGTGCATATTTTGGTAATTTATTAATCTCTAATTACATGACATGCAGCAATTTTACCACTAATTTGTAAATAACATGGTGTAATTTTCACTGGTATCTTGAGATCCTGAATATCTAGTTATTCATAATATCTTGAGATAAATTGTACATCGTTCAAATAAATGACCAGGCTTTTTAGGACGCAGTCCCTCCTGATGTCTGAGAGCCACAACATGCCTAAAGTTGCAACCTTGAGAGCAGTGTGGCTTTGTACTCTTTAAAAAAGACTATGCATTATGTTTAACATGTCTGTTAAATTTGTATCTATTATAGAGTTTAAATATGAAATTAAACAAAAATATAAAACTAATAACATTTAGCTTGAAAGTATGAAGAAAAAACGTTAAATTGTTAGTATGGACACAAACCTTTATATAATGTGCTACGTATTAAATTACAGACAGTTATTGTCTTTTTCCAGAAATTTGCATGTAATGTACAAAAAAACAAAAATAAACAAACAAACAATTTTCATTTTCATTATTGGCAGAATCATTAAAATAACAGTTGGGCTCTTAATTTACAGATGTTATCCATAATCTTACAGAATTTTGAATTCAATAAAAAAAAACAGAAAATTACAGTAAAAATTTAAGGGTTATTTCCTGTAAAATTAGGACTTTTTTACAGTGTAGACTATTCAGGGTGCTACCTAAGGTATTCTTGTTGATGTCTCTAGTAAAATTTTATGGTGGCCAAATTAAACAATTGCAGTCTCAGGATGTTTAAAATTGCCCTTGATTGTCCCTGTGGCACATTTACTGAACTGCAATTAAATTGTATCTAGTGCCTCTTTGGTCATTATCGTGAGCTACAAATTAGAGAGCCTTCTGGCTCCCTCTAGAGCAGGGGTGTCAAACTCAACCAGTAAAAGGGCCATATTAAAAAATCTCATCAAATCTGTGGGCCAGAAAAAATGTTTTTTTTATTTAATTTTTAATTAATGTTGTCTTGTAACCCAAACTGACCATCCTCTATTCAAAATATGCAAAAACTTCAACAGTAAAACACAGACACTTGTAGTAGATCTTGAAATATTACATGGACACTTGAAATATTCAAAGTTTAAATGTCCCCAGGAGCCCCCAATGTAATTTGGAATATGCATAACACAGTTTAGGAAACACTGCAGTAAAGTATTACCAGCACAGACACACATCACAATTGTTCTTTTTTGGAAATGGGGTTGTATGTTGTGTTGATTTTAGTTGTGCTTTGGATCATTGTCCTGCTGGAAGATCCAGCCATGGCCCAGATTAAGCTTCCTGGCTGAGGCAGTGAGGTTTTGATTTTCTTTCTGCTGGTACTTGATGGAGTCTGTGACACAATGTATCTGAATAAACTGTCCAGGGCCTTTGGAAACAGCTCCACATCACAGATCCACCACCATACTTCACAGTGGGGATGGGGTACTTTTCTGCAGAGCTATCTTTGTGTCTACACTGTTGCCAAAAATCTCATATTTATACTGAAACAGGAAGTCATAGCTAACCATTTGTGTTCCTAATAACTTTAAAACATAAAATATGAATGAGATTATACTTCAGTTAGATTTCACTCATAAGAATTTCTAGGGTTGCCAGCAATTGTGGCACATATGGATTTGAGAAAAATATTTTTTTCATGATTGATCAAGATTTAGGTTTTTCTTTCAGTCAAATAAAGTTTAGATTTTTTTTTAATATTCTGAATGAAATATCAAATGAATAAGCAATAAAGAATTTTTAAATAGATTGTTCATGTTTACCAGGAGAGACTTGATTCTTATAAATAGTTGGTGATGTTAGCATAAAGCTGAGTGCTGAGCAGTGGGTTTTTCCCATTGCTGTGTCAATGAGAAAGCACTTATTTGAAATGCCGATATCTCAACTGAGAGAACTGAACCTGAACTACAATGAACAAGGAGAGTCAGGAGTGATGCTGCTCTCTGATCTACTGGAGGATCCACACTGTAAACTGGAGAAACTACAGTGAGTTACTGACTTACTGTCTCTATACACACACACACACACACACACACACACACACACACACACACTAATACTTGTACACATATTCGCACACATTCACACATATAAACATACATAAACACACACACAAATACCCCCACACATGTGCACACTCACAGAAAATGTGCTGTGTGCATAATCTAGAGGTGTGTATAAGTGAATAAATATGTTTAGTTTAGATTGTGTGTGTGTGTGTTGTAATAAAAATGACAGATATTATTTCAAATATTATTTAATTGTAGCACAAACATGCTCTAATTAATTGGTCTGTTATATAAACCCTTATGAAACCAGTTAATTTGCAGTGAAATATGATTGTTAGTTTGTGTTTATACTCACTATTTCAACTCAGTTCAGTGATTCTGTAAGAAGATAAACTCAATATATAAGATGGAGTTTAGACCCTGATGGAGCAAACCGTAAATATTCATCACTAAAACTCTAACTGGAGAAGTTTTGATGTTTCTCATTCTTTAATGGATTAAATTGTAGTTTTTACTTCATGGAAGTCCATTACATGACTGGACAGGTTCTAGATATATTGGTATTGAAAGACACATCAGTGTGAGTTCATGTCTGACGATTCTCTGCTCTTCTCTGTCTTACAGCATCTGAACACCATCCAGCTGATCTGCTCTGTTCCGCTCTTATGAACGCTAACAACATGAGCTCAACGCTCTAAACCAGCGGAAACGCCGATAGAGTTTATAAACACTAACAACATGAGCTCAACGCTCTAAACCAGCGGAAACTCCCACAGAGTTTATAAACACTAACGACAT